AACTAACTTCCCCATTGTTCTTTTGCATGTTTTACATATTTATAGATAGACAGATACATCCAAGGTAAGAAACAAAGAATGGGAAACACAGACTTCCTCCCTCTAATTATGCTCATTTGAATGTAATACAGACGTGTAATGTGAGCCTGGCTCAGGTGCAGGATATTCCAGTGATCCATGGTCACAGATTGACCCCAGCTGAGGCTCCCCTCTCTATCTATCTCTGGGGACAGGAAATGTGAGAGTGATAAAGAAGGGAAGGATCCATTAAATTACAGGATGTGGGAAACAGCACAGTTGTCATCACAGCTCTCTCTCTCTCTGCTTATTTCCATGTGTGACAGGCATCCAGGCGACTGTGGACATGTCTCTGCGGGAATTCGCTGTATTTCTTCAATAATCCTAAGGACACTCATGTAAGTGTGTATACATTGTATACATGCAAGTGTGCATCATGTTGTGTTGATGTTAACTCACGTTTATGTGTTTGTGTTTGGGGGTGTTACAGTTCGTAGAGAAGCTGGATCTCAGTGGATTTGTGTCCCTGAAGGACGACTGCAGCCGGGACAGAAACCTGGAGGCGGCCAGACTCATCCTACGCATGAAGGATGGGGAAACCAAACTCACAGTAACTAGCCCCTTACCTTAACCATTAAAGCTACTACATGACTAACCCAATCCTAACCCTAATCTTTAAACAAAGTCTTCACCTTCAAACAGCTCACTGAAAAACCGAGGACTGGCCAAATTATCCCCTCTGTATAAGGTCTATGCTCAAAATGCTCCTCACAAAGATATAAATACAAGTACACACACACACAGTCTCAGTGGAAATTACAGTGGAAATGAATTATCCTTAATTACTACTTCCCTAACCTTAACCTGAACCTGAATTCAAGCCTGAACCTAAAACACGTCTTCGCCTTATGGTGTGATAATTTGTTATGGGGACATATCATGACATTATTATTAAACAGTTTTGACAAGGTGTTTAAATGCTCTTGTCTTTTTCAGGCACCCAACCTAGAATCAAGGGAGCTGTGGAAAGGTTTCCTCTACTCTGTCATTGATGTAAATATTCATCTTTTGCTCGGCAGCATTCATCTTAACCGTGTCTGCCTCTTGAGCTGTGATATAAAAGAAAATCTGCATTCCTCCCAATCACAGCTCAATGTGCCGTCCTGTCTGACGTTGCTGCCGGGCCAGCTGCAGATGCTGAAGGAGGTGGTGGACAAAGAGAGGTCCAGGCGGAGGATTCGAACACCTACGCGTGCTCCTCCTTCCCCGCTCTCCGTGCCTTTAGTAGGAGAGATCCCACCGTGAGTTCTGCTCTGTTGAGAGTAACTGTTTTAGTGTTTGTGCAAATCAGTGTGGTCATCTTCTGTGTGTGGCGTGCAGGTGCTTTCGACCAGTGTCGCGGACAGAGGCTGAAGTCCTCCTGGAGCGACACCCAGACAGTGGCAACATGCTGCTCCGTCCAGGCAGAGATGGATGCTCACTGGCTGTCACGACTCGACAAGACCTCAACGGGTAAAACACCTGCTGAACATCTGGACACCACAGCTGCTGACACAGACAGACACCATCTTCACAGCAAAATGTGTGTACCCTATTTGTCTGTTTTTGCTCCAGGTCGGTGTTCAGACATTACCGTGTGACTCAGAGGGACCAAGGCGGTTATGTCATCGATGTAGAAAATCCTGTAAGTGTGTAATACATGTATAATACATACACAATTCACATTTGAAAATATATAAGGATGTGGATTTCTTAAATTCTTAAAGTTCTTATGATTGACTCATATATGTTCACTGTTCCTAATGTTTTATCATAAAACATAATTTCATGGTTACATAATTAGTTATGTGTTTGGTGAACCTGAATATTCAGATATGAAATACAAATTACATCACATTTATTAAGTGGGAAAAATTAGATGCTGTAAATATCTCACCTCTCTCTGTCTGAGTGACAACTTGTCAGAACTAACTTACTGTATTTTCATATTTTCATTAATGCCTTTTTGATTCGAGTTTTCAGGGTGAGTGAGGACGTGATGACAGTTGAGCACACAGACGATCTTAAACACTGATTGTAGAAATTAAGAAAAAATGTTTTTGCTTTGAGATTACAGTCAGTCAGTAATGTCTGTACTGTCTATAATGGAAACATCATTAATAATCCATCAGATTTGTGTCATATAATACAACTGTTTTCTTCCTTTCAGATTCCCTGCGCTACACTGCATGAGGTCATTGACGCCCTGGTGGAGAAGACGGCAGGAACTCTTCAACCATTCCTACTGGAGGAGCCATATGAGGAGAATATTAGTGAGGCACAGTTTACTTCCTCTGCTTTTTTTTTATCTTTCTCTCACAATAAATGTATGAGTCCAACAATATAATTACTTCTTTTATGTCATCAGCATATGTTTCTGCCAATGATGAAAATGGAGAAAGGATCCTCCACACTGCCCCCACCAGCCCCCTTCCAAAGGCTCCTGCCCTGCCGCCAAAACAAGGTTTGTCTCTTCAACATGACGCACACACAGATCGTCACAGACAGACACAGACAGACACAGACAGACACAGACAGACAGCCTTAGGGTGCTTTCACACCTTCCTTTGGTCCAGGCTTTTCAGTGTAGTCAGAATCAAAATAACAGGGGCCTCAGACCATGGTTCTAACCAAAGGATTAATATTTATTCCGATATGGGTAATTTCCTATGCAGTGTGAAAATGCTTTTTGGGATAGTTCAGACTTTAAGACAAATTGCAGGAGGTGGAGACATCATTAAACAATAGAAAATGAAAAAGGAGCAGCAGGGAAGCAAAAATGAGATGTGGTGCCACATGGGGGAGGGGGGAAATACAATATTCAATTTTAATATTTTCTGAGGAAGCTATTAAAATTGTATAAAAGACGTTAACATGCTGCTCTGTTCTGAGAGGATGAGAGAAACTGGGTGTTAGAGGATGCTATGCTAGAACAATGCTACTTTCATTTTTTGGATTTGAACTAGTGTTGAGTGCTGCACCTGAAGTTGGTGAGGCTGGTAGTAATAACATAATGATATTACAGTGGCAATGAAATTAATAAAACTGGTTGATTCATTTTTTTCCATTCAAACAGAAGAGACTACTACTACTCAGTCTAAATTTCAATGTGAAACTACAGACTGTAAAGATGGACGACATGACAACTCATCAAAAGTGAAGCCAAAGGGTCTCAATCACCACCCAGGGGCTGGTTGCAGTATAGGTCATTAACCTTGCCTCCTCCATGTTAGTGGATGGGACATAGACCAAATAAAAAGTCAAATTACACATCAAACAGATTTCTTAGTGATCACTGCATGCTTTCATTCTGGTGCAGATCGTTGGTGCAGCAGTAGTCCCTTGTCCAGGTCCCCCGCCCCAGACCGCCGTATCCTGACCACGTCTGTACCGGCCTCGCCCACCAACCCGATGAGACGACTCATCCTCTCCCCTTCACCTCTTGCACAGAGTGAGTAGATAAAGTGCAGACCTCACCTGCAGCAGTCAATCCTCAGACGTTTCAGCTCCAAGTGTTCATTCTCTGTTCCTCCGCAGCGCTCAATGAGGAACTCAAAATGAAGCTGGAGAAGAGACGAGCCAGTCAGGAGTGACTTCACTTGGGAGGAACTACTTCCTGTCACAGCATACTCAATCTTCAGTGCCAAACCCCTTCTCACCGCAGCTATGTACTCATCCTGTGCCTTCTAGGTGGAAGACAAGGGACTACAAACACCGCCACTTTCTTTTAGTGCTTCGTCCACATGCATAAAACTGTTTACAAACCACCTCATTGCAAAAAAATAGTACCAACAAATGATTACTTTCCCTTCTCTGAATCAATGTGACTGGCAGCTAAAACCTCCAGGAGAAATCACTGACACACTCAGACCACCAACAGAGCCAAATGTTTTCCTGTCTGAGCCTGTGTCTGTTTGCGCTGACCTGCTGATGTCGCTGCCGCACCTGAGACACTTTATCTGCTCTGAAAGTAAAATAAACCAGGCGTGCTCAGGTTTCCACTCAGCAGCTCTCTACCTTCCCCCTCATCTAACATCTAATAATCATGTGAATACAGTGGAGCCGGCCTGAAAGTGAAACCTGCACAATCTGTGCCTGCTGCTCTGAGTGTTATATGTGGTGAATAAGCATTGATGACCATTAATGTGTTGTCGGTCGATTCAACGACACCGCTGTGGTTCATTTCAAACCCAGATTTGACTGTAATGTTGGTGCTGATTTTAAAGTGTTTCCTTATTCTCTGCTACTGTGTATATGTGCTACTGTATGGTGCTACGACTCACCAGTGCTCAGACCTGCTCGGAGAATCCACTGTTCCCCTTCAAGAAAATCTATCTGCTGTGTGTGAGGGTGCCCTCTAGTGGAATGGCTGTAAACTAAAGAGACAGGACACTCTTTAAGTATAAAGTACACGAGAACCAGAAACTTGGCAAAGACTAAAAGTTTTATTTACAGATTGAACCCACAAAGGGTTTTGTCTTCATCACAGTATTATACCCTACCTCTTTGCCTTCAGTTACAAAATGATTATGTTTTACAGATCTGAGGATCGTTTTTTCTACATTGGAAACATTATTTGACATTTCTGTCCCTTGGCCAGTCCTAGAAGATTTGATGTGTCTGAGCACTAGTGGAAAACTGTGATCAACTGACTTGTGTCTTCTTACGATGATCGGTTTCTCGTACATGTATGTTTGTACAATATGTGATGTGTCCTCTTAAACACTATCAAAGTGTTTGTTAGATATTGAGGGCATTAAATTGTTTTTGCATGGATCTCTGTCCTTCCTCATCTGGAGATGAAAGTATGACCCTCCAATGACAACATTTAACTAAGGGAATCCGATGTTATTGGCACCATAAGTGGCTGGTTAAGGAGATGATCCATAATGAAGATATTTAACCACAAATGAATAGAAGAAAAGAAAAGTATTTTAGTAAAAGTTTACTTATTCTACAGTTCAGTAGGGGAGAACATTTCCACATTCCTTCTGTGATCTCACAAACTAAAACCCATATATACAGATTATACTGAATATAAAGATGGACGACATGACAGCCCGCTCCTCAAAACTGTCTTATTCGCCCTCTACTTTATGCTAATGTGGAGATGCGTCTGAGCCACAGATTTACACTTCTGTATAAATACATGTTCTTCTTTCATTTGTTAGTCTGCAAACCAACATGAACCAAAAAAGAACAAACAAAGAACAGTGCATACGAGGTAAGATGGAGGCAGGGGTATTACAAGAGGTGTATAGACAAAGCATTCAATTGCTGAGCAGAAAGGGTGCCGTAAGAATGGCTGATCCACAGCAACAATCATTTTGTAAGGACCTCCTTAAATTCTATAATATTGTGTAGGAGACAATAACTGCACCCTGGTCCCGCAGGAGAAAAAAAACAATGAGCCCAATGCCTCTAGCTTCATCATTTTAAAGGTTTTTTGAAGACTGGAATGTCTATTATGCATTATGGGTTTCTTGAAGAGAGCCCCCCCCCCCGAGTTCCTTTGTCTGGAGCCCCCAAAGTCCTCTGTAGCGCTCCTGGCTGGAGGACCTTGATGTTCACACATAGGAGATGAGTAAGATGTCCATCCATCCCTTGTCTCTACCGCTTTACAGGGAGCTGGAGACAATCCCAGCTGACATTGGGCTAGAGGCGTGGTACACTCTGCACAGGTCATCAGCATATAGCTTATAAAGTGGCCTGTTAGGTATATGTATATTAATATTGTGTAATACGCTTAAATCCAGTTCTGTGTATTTGTATTAAACACTTTGTTGAAATTTACAACACTATGTTTGCTGATATTGTGTTACAGCTTTGCACCACAACTCTGCCCAGTGAGCAAAATAAGAAGTAGCAACAACTTTAGGATTTTTGCACGATGGTAAAGTTGCATCAACCAAATCCGTATGAAAGTGATCATGTCTCCATTGTGTGTAGGTGATTTGTATTAAGTGTAAATATGTCTGTGCAGGTGCAACATTATGACACTGAATTGAAATAATGGCTCCTCTTGTGCAGGACAGGAAACACTGGGTTATTCCATCTGTCCTGTCAGGACACGTTGGTTCTGTTAGGAAACAGAAGCTTTCATCATCCACCTCGCCCATCTGGAGTCAGCTGTGTCCTCTGCTCTCTCGCACTCAGGTTGACTGAACGGGTTTTAATCTGACCAGAGATCAGCGTCGTCAGCCCGAAGGAGGTAACAACAAAAACACAACTAGCAGAGCGGCCGTTGAGACGCTTCTCTCCGCGAGCTGAGAGCCGAGGGTCGGTTCAGAAACGGAGCTCCGCGGTGACTTAGAGAGGACACAGAGACAGAGACAGAGACAGAGACAAACCGCGGAGACAGACACAGAGACAGACTCAGAGACAAACCGCGGAGACGTTACTTCTTTCCTGTTTCTGCGCTTTAACCTCTAAGTCAGCTGCGCGCTTCTTTCTCGTCAGCGGCTCTTGTCTCGGGTTAATTCCTCATTTTGTTTTGTTCCACTTCTCTCTTCGCTCGTCTCCACACCGAGCTGCATGTCTCCGTGATGTCTCCGTGATGTCTCCGTGATGTCTCCGTGAAGTCTCCGTGATGCTTCAGAAAACTGCGCTTCGCTCACAGGTGCTCGGACTACTTCTCTAAATGGAGGCGCACACAATCTCGGGCGTGTCAGTGCGCAGGTAAGTGTTGTGTTGTGTTGCGTTGTGTTGTGTTGTGTTGTGTTGAACCTGCTGAGCTGCTGAATGACGGGATTTGAGTTCACAGCTTAATAACAGGCAGTTAAATAACAAGTTTTATTTGAATCAAAGTGAAAAGAACCACTAGCTAAGTGCTAAACTGTTGTGTGCCGCGTTACTAACGCAACAACGTGTTTCCAACAACCTGTTCACACAAACTGTCAGTTTAATGCTTCCAATCGAGATTAGTTTTTATTGCCGGGGGACATATGGTGCAAAAGTGTGTGTGTGTGTGTGTGTGTGTGTGTGTGTGTGTGTGTGTGTGTGTCTTTAGTTAAGAGCCATTTTGACTTTGTGTGTCCTCAGAAATTCAAAGGGCTGTTTGAGGGTTAAGACTTGGTTTAAGGGTTTGAATTAGGGTTAGGCAGTTACTTATGATTGTTAATGGTTAGGGTAAGGGGCCAGTGAACGCCTTATGCCAATGAGTGTCCTCACAACTATGGAGAGACGTGTGTGTGCTCGTTTTCCTTTTCCAGCAGAAACACAAATCTTATCAGGAGGTCAGGGTTAGGCATGAATTGGTCATGGTTTGGGAAAAGGTTTTTGCTCGGCTGTCAACAATCAATGGAAGTCAATGCAAAGCCCTAGTAAAGTTAGCTGCACAAACTACTGTGTGTGTGTGTGTTAGGTAAGCTGGCTATGGCCCCAGGGCCAAATATGTGAGACATCTTATCACGGCTGCATTCTCTGACATGCTGCAGCTCATCGGTTGAATGCAGCACACCTCTGTTGGGAAAGAAGCACCTTCATTGGTACACACCTACTCTGCTGGTTGTAGTAACACTGTCTGCAGGACAAGATCACTGGAGACAACAGCTGTCATTGTGTCAGCTCTGTAATCTAAGCAGGTAGAGGAAGTTCACTGAGGTGCAGTGATGACTGAAACCACCATGTTGTCTGTCAGTTCATGTGAAACTGCTCCTGCAACAAACTCAGCGCTCATCTGCACCGCACTTTTGGCAGCGTCTGTGCATCTCATTGTGTGCTTGTGTTTGGTGCTGCAGGAGAGCTGAGGTTGACATGCCTGCACCCTGCTGAATGCCTTTCATGGCCCTGCATTAACATCACTATGGCACTGACAGAATTACTGCTGTGCTGACTTTAGCTCACTCTGCTCCCTCTGGCCATTCCTCTACTTTTTCTCCTTTTTTTTTTTTTGCTTTGTGTCTTTCACTATGTTTTCAACACATCTTTAATGATTCTCCTCACAACTCATTTTCCCCATTTGTTTTGTGTCTCTATTTACATATCTTAAGATTTTAATTTTTCATCAATCAGGTCTCACGTTTGGTGAATTGATTGTGATACCCATCCAACCTTGTCTCTTTCAGCCTTCCTCTGCTTTGTCTCTTTGGTGTGGGCCATCTATCTCACCATGGACAGCCTGCTGAGCGAAGCCAGTGAAGGGGCCAGGGCTCTTCAGCCTGCACAGACCTCACCACGTCATAGATGCCACTCGCTGTCTTTACCTCTGTGAGAGCGACTGCTAGGGAAACAATAAAGCGTAAATTCCTCTCAGCTTGAACAAAGGAGCCATGCATCCGCTACTCTCCCTCTGCATCTTTTGGCTGCTGCCTGTGGCCTTGATGCTGGAAGATGCCTCACCATTGGACTGTGTTCCCCGCAAAACTGTGCCCCATGATAGTAAGTGTTGCTCCCTGTCTTGTGTAACCTTAGCTTACAGTGTGTTATCACATTTTGGCAAACATGCATGATTACAGTATGGATAGACTCATTGGTAAACAGGGTGGTTGCTCAATGATGAATCAGTCATGTTCTTTCACTAGGGGTCAAGGCTCACTTGTTTCACGAGAAAGGTGTTTTCAACTACTCAACCATGTTGTTGAGAGAAGACCTGGATCTGCTCGTGCTGGGTGCCAGGGAGGCAGTGTATGCTCTTGACCTCAACAACATTTCCAAGAAACATGCCTCAGTAAGAACACCTTTTTTTTTTTTTTTTACAATGTGGTTAAGCCAGTTCCATGTTGGAGCAAGGCCCATTGATTGTTAGCGCTTGAAATTTCTTATCAGAGATTTCTTGGATGACGGCTAGAATTTTTTTATGAGAACAAACTTCCGTGCTGGGCCATACTCTGTGACCTGAATTGAGTCTCTCAGGCTTCAGTTGCTCTCTGGTTTTAATCTTGTCCAAACAAACTTTGTGTTATGGAAAAAAGGCTGAGTTCAGGGTTACAAAGACGCTTAGCACAGTCAGTGACATTAACCTAAAGTTGACTAAAAATTGTAAACTTCTGAAATGCCAGTGAGCAGTTTGGTTGTAATGTTTTAACTAAACAGAAAAACAACCAGCTATAGTGAAAATTACCTCACTGATTCCAACTACAGTTCCTTAGCTGCTAGTGTTGTGTTTATCCACCTCTATGATAGAAAACACATTGTGGTGGAGTGTGTAACAAAAACTGTTGTGTTGTCACACCTAGGTGAAATGGGAAGTGACGAAAGAACAAAAAGATGAGTGCACAAACAAAGGCAAAGATCCTGAGGTGAGTCCCTTCTGGTTTTGCTCACTAGAACTGACTGTGCATTGAGCAGATGTAGTCATTTCTGTTTGAAATGTATTTACAGAAGGACTGCATGAACTATATAAGGATATTACACAAGATGGAGGATAAACGGATGTATGTGTGTGGAACCAATGCCTTCGATCCAAAGTGTGATTACATGGTAAGAAAAATTCAGAGCTGCATGTCATTTTATACAAAGTAAACTGCTGTGTAAGTTTTCCATCAAGTTAAATGTTGTGTGTCAATGCAGTCCTATGTAGATGGGAAGCTGACTCTCGAGAAGAAAGCAGAGGATGGCAAAGGGAAGTGTCCATTTGATCCTTCTCAGAGATACACCTCCATCATGGTTGGTGAGTAGCTGTTCAACAACAGATGAAAAAATATAAGATTTTTAAAAAGTACACAGTAAAGCCAAAGAAAATACTGCAACAGAAACGTCCTTATCAGGAGTTTGGTCGTTAATTTTGGGGTCACGTGACATCACAATGCCCTACATTTGCATAATGCGTGCCTAGCGACGGCCGCTAGCAAAACCAGATAAAGTGAAAGAAGCGTCAGACATTTCCATACATGCGCTGGAGACTGATGGCCAATCACTACAGAGGCAGCCAGCTGGCCAATGAGAGTAGGCTGGACTTTATCAGAAGTGGGGCCTTAAAGAGACAGGAGCTAAAACCCTTAATGTCAGACAGAGGCTGAAAAGAGAAGCTGCAGCTTTGGACAGTTTGATGAAAGTGATGTGTTTAATAAACATTACAGCATGTAAACATTTTCAACTAATGACCCGCATCAAAATTATGAACCTAAATATGAGCATAATACATCTCGTTGAATGAAGCATTTTTATTTTGATGTTTTCTGCCTTGTTTCAATAGATAACAACCTATACTCAGCCACTTCAATGAACTTCCTGGGCTCTGAACCAATCCTGGTACGCAGCTCTCCTGTCTCCATACGCACCGAGTTCAAGACTTCCTGGCTTAATGGTAAGATGTGACAGCATGTGATTTAAAAAAATAATTGCTTAATGTTTTGGACTTCACTGTGTCCACACTGAACTTGTTGAGCTTTGCTTGATAGCTCAGTCAAAGTTAATGTCTTTTATCTTTTATACACCAGAGCCCCACTTTGTTTCTATGGCTCAGATGCCAGAAAGTGACAAAAATGAGGAGGGAGATGACGACAAGGTTTACTTGTTCTTCAGTGAGACAGCTGTGGAGTGCGACTGCTACAACAAACTGATGGTCTCCCGTGTGGCCCGTGTCTGCAAGGTGATAAAGAGCTTACCATGCATGTGCTTATTTTAAACAGCTCCATTAACCAACACAATAGCATATAAACACTGCTTCCTCAGTTACGCTCGTTTCGCCCTGTTCCGTTGTTTGATTGGGAGTTCCGTTTGTTTGGAATTGACAGTGTGTCTGTGCTCACAGGGGGATCTTGGAGGTCAGAGGACTTTGCAGAAGAAGTGGACATCCTTCCTGAAGGCCAGAATGGACTGTCCGGTGCTCGAGTCCCAGCTGCCGCACATAATCCAGGACACTTACCTCTGGTGTGACCCCCAGCAGCACTGGACAAACTGTTTGTTCTTTGCCATCTTCACCCCACAGTGGTGCGTTTGAATCAACAGACGTGTTAGTGTGTAGAGGGAGGAGGGTTGCTTTATTTCTTTAATGGTCTTTGGCACACCGCTTGGCTCCCATTTTCTGTGTTTGTGTTTCAGGGGCACATCAGACCTGTCTGCAGTGTGTGTGTACCGGGTGTCTGACATCAGCAGAGTGTTTTCAGAGGGAAAGTACAAGACTCCAGTCCCCGTAGAAACCTCTTTTGTTAAGTGGGTGATGTATAGCGGAGATGTCCCCTTCCCTCGGCCTGGAGCTGTGAGTGTGCCCACTGTGTGTGTGTGATGTGTGAGAGAAACAAAACAAAATCTCCAAAAGCAACTCCTTTTTGTTTTTTAACGAGTGGCCCAGCAGGAAACTGATTCCTTTTGTTCTCTGACTCCGTTGTTCTCCCTTTTCTCTTTCCTTGCCCTCCTCTCTTTCGCCAGTGCATAAACAACGAGGCTCGTAAAGCGGGTATAAATCAGACTCTGGACCTCCCAGATCGGACCCTTCAATTTATCAAAGATAGGCCCCTCATGGACCAGTCTATCCAGCCAATAGGAGACAAGCCACTGCTGGTGCGAAGGGGAGCTACATTCACACGCATCATAGTCAACCAAATGCAGGCCGCAGATGGCGAGAAGTATCATGTGATGTTTGTTGGCACAGGTGTGTGTGGTTAGGCTTGTATAAATGCAGCAAACTGACACTTCCTGTGTGTATTTCACTTTTCTGCTTTTAAAAAGTTGAGTGTTACACGTGAGGCCATTTGCTATAGTGTATAAAAAAAAGTATGTTTTTCTGTTTTTATATGAAAAGATGAGGGCACCATCCTGAAAGCAGTGAACTATGATGGAGAGATGTTCATCATAGAGGAAATACAACTTTTCCAGCCTCCAGAGCCAATCAAGATTCTGAAATTTTCTAATGTCACGGTAATTTGAAACCCAAACACAGTGAAAAATATGTCACTTATTACTTAATATTATTATTGATGTTCATTGTATATTTCTGCATATACAACAGTGTGATTATTCTGCATCTGTGTATACAGACTCAGCTTTATGCTGGTTCAGACTATGGAGCAGCACAGTTGCCACTGGCCAACTGTGAGAGGTCCTCATCCTGCATGGACTGCATTCTAGCAAGAGACCCATACTGTGGCTGGGACCAAACTGTTCGGAAATGCGTTTCCCTCTCTAATTCACAAAGGTATAGGCAGCTCTTTAGACAAGCAGTGTTGTTATCTGTTTCAGTCAAACTAAATTTCTTATTTTGCATCTTCTGCTATAGAAAGCTGATCCAAAGTGTGAAAGAAGGAGATGCCTCTCTTTGCCCAGATGCTGGTGAGTCAGAGCACAGTCAAGCCAATGCAGTATGATCGGCACATTTATTGTGATTCTGAATGAAACTGAATGTGGCAGGGTTTGCTTGGCTCATTTATGCTCAACATGAGTTAGAGCCTTTAGTACGTACTGCACATCTTCTGAAAGCCTACAGACATGAATGGAACAGATGATACAGAGCAGAAGCATAGGAAATCTGGGGGGGGGGGCAATATAGCCAATAGTTCAAACGAGACAACCACAAGACACAAGAAAGATTAATTCATCATAATTGAGGTCGTGTTTGTGTCTGTTTGGATTTCAGACCCTTCTAAACCAGTGAAGCAGTCCATCTGGCCTGGGGGCAACACAAAGCTCAGTTGCCCTTCACCTTCCAACTTGGCAGAAACCATGTGGGAGCGGGACAAACGCCCTCTGACCCCCTCAGCCCGTTTTCAGCTACTGCAAGACGGACTGCTTATCCTTAACGCCTCAGACAGAGATGGTGGTCACTATCGCTGCCTATCTGTGGAGCACTCTAAAACTGACAAGTACACAACCACAGTGGCAGAATACCAGCTCACAATAGCCCCAGTAGGCTCAGGCAAGGGCGGGGATACATTGTTTCCAGAAGCCCAGAAGGGCGGCCCCTCTGTGGCTGGACTGCAGGCTGCACTTGCCATCCTGGTAATTTCCCTACTTGTTCTTTTAGCCTGGAACTTTTACAAAGGGCACCTACCACTTCCCTGTAAATGTGGGAAGAAAAATGAGAAACAATCCCCCGAGTCCCACGAGGAGGGGGGTGGGAACTCTGAGCGCTACCCAGAGACACAGAGGTCTTCACCTGCAGAGGACAAGCCCCTGGTGTCTGGACGAGACAACGGCAGAAGCAATAACAACCACACCAGAGAGGGGGCGAAGTTCAGTGCTGCAGATGAGAATGACGACCCAGACGTTAACCTGCCGTCGCTGCAGTACATTGATGATGAGTCAGAAATTGGAAAATGACATGCAAATGATTCAGTTGAGGGGCGTTTCAAGTCTAAAAGAATGAATGGGTAGGCAGAAAACATTTGTTTCAAATCACAAATGGATTCATCAGTTCATCTCTAATATCTGAGCTGAGACCTCGACTGTCATAACAATCACTGAAGTCGGAGTAAAAGGGAATTGCTAGGTTTACGAAACCTTATTTTCAGAAACTATGAACTGTTGTGACACCAAAAGTTCCTTTTTGTACAAATGAGACGCTTGAATTTCAACACTCGTATGTACATTTTTTTTAAAAAGTATGTTTTTAGGTTTTTTTGTACTAATTGCTGTAAATTCTGTTATGGGTTGAATTTTCTTGTAATGATTGGTGTGGTTTTTCACAGGGAATGTACAATGACTAAAATTGAGCCAATTAATTTCTAACCACTAAATGCAAAGACTTTGTTTTATTGTATTAAAAATGTTTTCTACCTGATGCATGTGTTGTTTCAGTGAATCCAAATATTAGCAACAGGGTTTTTACTAGTTTTCTACGAGACAGTACTTGACATGAATGTGAAGAACAGATGTGGACGTGAATCACTTATAAACCATCCACCAAAACACTTGGTGTCTATTCAAGAGATTCTATGTTCAAAACTGTAAAAGTACCCAAAGTGTTTTGACTCTGAAATGTGATGTTTTAAATTGGCAGAAAACCATCACCCAGTCACAGCTTGCATAGAGTAAAAAGTATCTTTAATGTGTATTTTGCAAAGTACATTACAATTAACCTTTTCAAACACGGTACAGAAACTATTTGTAACTTTAACAAATTAGCTTTTCTCAAACAATACAATGCAGCATAAATCATAAAATGCGTGTGTTTAAAACCCAGCGGCTGGGCTCTTGGTCCATCCTGTTACGTGACGTCTATCTCCTGTAGCGATACCTCTTGAAGTGGAACCACAGCTGGAAGATCCCATTGGCGAACTGACAGCGGAAGCCATGTCGGTGCGAGTACTCCCACTCCCTGTTCACGATCTTGAAGGCGATGTCCTCGTACGGAGGCCCTGCGTGGAACCTTAAAATCCCAAAGTCCTTGTTGTCGGGACTGGGCTCGAGGAAGTACTGCGGGGTGGAGCGCTTGTCGATCAGGTCCGGATAGAAAATGTTGAACTTGTATCCCTGGACGATCTTGGGCGGAGGGTTGTCAAAGTCGTAATGCGTCTGGTTGTATTTGTTCCACTCAAAGCCTGTGTGCACCCGATTGAAGAAGCGGGGTTTCCTGGGGCGATATTTGTCTGCCCACAGGTACATCTTCCCTGTGACTGGGAACTCTACACTGAACTGGGCCTCATCATTACCCATGCCCTCTCTGGCACGACGAATGAAGGCGTCTTCGGCGCTCTCACTGGCGTCACCTGATGGACAGAGAAGTCAAAGCAGCAGCAGTGAGTAAAATCTCTGCGCCACATAAACACGTTTTACACATAACAAATGTATATAACACTTGACTGTGCACCCGTACAGGGGACTGTTGCTATGCACTTCCATTCTTCAGTGTTGTCCCTGTGGTGTTAATATTGTATTTTTACCTCTGCCAAGGACGTTATGTTTTCATTTTGTTTGTCTTTTAGCAGTAACTACTGAACCGATTTTCTTGGAACTTTGTCAGTTTGAGATACGGCCATGGAAGTAGCAATTGTATTTTGGAGATGATTCACTAAAAGGGATGAATCCAAGACTTTTTTCCCACTTCGACATTGGGAGATAGTGCTTTGTTTTACATTTTGTTAAATCCCTCAAGAAATAATGCCGAGATTTCATCTTTATGGAAAAAAATCCATTACTGGGTTGACAAATAGAGCAGGAAGATTTGAAATATTTACACTGTGTCCCTGTAGATTTCAGTTTGTGTTTCATGTTGATGTTCACCTTTGATTTGTTGAGAGAAATAACTCCCATAATGTTCTAGTCTTTTGGATTGTTCCTGTCAACTATGTTAGAGAATAAATATTTTGCTTGCGTTACCATTCGAATTCTGGATGTTCTCTCCCAACTGGCAACAGAATGTATTATCTTAACGCACATCTAGTTTGTGTGTGTGTGTGTGTGTGTGTGTGTGTGTAAAAGGTCTCATACCGGTAACTTGGAGCTGTCTGCGTGCCAGCTGCAGTCTGTGTGCGTCCTCCTCCGGGGTGATAGTGTGCGTGTCCAGCGGCAGCTCAGACTGCGTGAGCAGCGTAGGACTGTAGCGCCCCGAGTCATACTCTGCCTGGCTCTGCTGGATCAGGTCCTCCTCTGTCAATACGGCCTCCACCACCTCGCCCTTCTCCTCTTCACCCTTTTCTCTTCCGTCCTCATCTTGTTTTCCTGTTGGGGATTTGGATGGTCCTGCCTCTTCGTCCGTGCCTTCCGTTTCTCTGTTCTTATTTTTTGTGGAGGACGAAGACGTCGACTGTCCGGGTTCTTCTGTTGCAGTCTCTCTGGTTCTCTCTCTCGCTCTTTCCCTGTGGTGGTGCATCCACAATTAATGTTTGCATACATTTCAGTGAGAACTAATGCAGCCTGATGGTAAATTTGACCCCGGGCCACAGTAACTGACCGAGCATGTTCTCTACAGTTTCTGGATGTGTGCAGCGTGTACTGTCCGGGTAACTTACTCATCTTCCTCACTGTCTGGCTCCTCTTTGATGATGGGGAACAAAGGTTCACTTTCTACTCCTTGTTCCTGTTTGAGCTTGAACAGCTTCTGACGCAGCACATCTTGGTGTCGCTCTCTCAACCTGAGACATAAAGTTATGCACACACACAACCAAGCTATTATTTCCACTCCTGAGTTAATTAGCAAAGTTTATATAACTTAATGTATTATTTTAAAATTAAAGGATCAATTGTGTAGTTTAATGAAGGAGTAGTGGCCTTCATTTTCAACATCGCACAGTAACATTCTGTCAGGGGTAAGATTAGGGTCTTGACAACCACTCATCCGCTTCCCAGGGTCCTCAGCAACAACAACATCAAGTTTGATGTCAGTCGGATGAGTGGTTGTGAAGAAAATTTAAGGAGAGAAAGACAGAGAATTCTGAATTTATTAGGATTCCCAGAGCAGAGGAACAGTGGGAGTACCTGGCTCTGGCCATGTAGACCCTGACTTGCTGCAGCAGGCTCTCCCAGTAACCAATATCAAGGTTGGATCCTCCAGCCCGAATCTTTGTCTCTATGTTTAGGTGCAGAGCCTGCAACTGGCTGTACGTCTTTCCTTTGAACACTATCTGGACGTCAGTGCTCACAGCTGTGTTGATGCCCTCACGCCGGTCACCTGGGGGTTTCACAAAGATTGCATTAGAAGAAAAGAAGAAGAAAAATGTGTGGTTGAGCATAACTTCCTGTTGCATTCACCACTGTTTGATGATCATGTGGAAAAAATTAAGTACCCGGTCCTTTCCCAGAGGCCTCCAGTTTTCTCAGTTTGCTGATCTCGTCCTCAGTGATGGTCGTCATGTCTCTCCAGAAGTCCACGTTTTTGCCTTGCTCCAACTCCATATACACCTGTCAGTATGACAGCACTTACAATGAGAGTCCATTTGAACTATAATAGGTGTATTATATATTATATTATTATATTATATATAATATTTATCTTTCTCCAGTATTCTGGTTCATACACTACCCCCCCTTTAAATCCTGTCTGACTGGAGCTATTCTAAGCTACACCACTTTGACCTTGGAATGGAACATAACAACACACCTTGATGTCCTCCAGCAGATCGTCCATGTCAGTGACTGTGAGCCCATTGAGGAAGGTGTAGGGTTCATGCATCTCCACAGCAAGATCGTCATCCTCCGCACTGATGTACTTCGCCAAAAGATCAATGGGTTTGGCACGACCGTCACGAATTCGAATCTTAGATCTAAACACACAGCACACAAGGATTTTCATACAATGCTGTAAGTATTCAGGAACTGTAGCGGGAACCTGGAACTTGACTGGAATTGTGCAAACAAACTGATACACACATATACATGTTATGAATCATACCAAAGGAGAATGGTGTGAATTTCTATTCCATATATCAGCTCTATGTTTTTAGTGTTTTTAGTCACAATCAAGGTTTATTTGTTGAATCTGAAAGACGACCATGAACCTTAAACTTTGTATTTGTTGCTGGAGACTTACCGTAGTTTGGCCTGGTGCAGGTGGAAGTTGTCTTCCTGTTCGGCCCAGGTCTTGAAATGCTCCGCCTCTTTCTCTCTCTGCAGCATCTCCAGCTCAGTCTCTCTCATGGCTTTCTCTCGCTCTCGCTCCAGACGAAGTTGTTTAACCTAAAGAATTATAATGATTCATTAAGAAGCTGTTTCTCATAACTCTGTAACATTACATGACCACAGAAAACATAACCTTGTGCTCATACCTTCTGCAGCTCTCTGCGGTTCTCCTCCTGAATACGTTTGTTCCTGTCTTTAAGATCTTTTTCTCCGAGATGGCCGATGCCTTTCTTATCCAACGCCTGATAACCACACACACAAACATAAATACACAATAGTCAAGTTTTGGAAAGAAAAGTTCCAAACTACTCGGACTGAGTGGATCAGGAGTTACTGGACGCTGCTCCCCAACTCACCTTCTGCCATTTAAATGTTCCCAACAAGTTGTTGTCACCGAAGGGATTGTCTGCATTGGTGTACCCCATGTATTCCTCGCTCCAGCCCATCTTTTCTCTCCTTTTCTTCTCCTTAGTTTCCTTCTTTGCCAGTCTTCTGGCCCTCTTCTCTTCAGGTGTCTCCAGAGCTTTCAGCATGTCCTTCTGTTTCTTCCTATTGTCCTTCTCTTTAACTGCACATTCCCCTTGCTCAGATCCTGAGCTATCAGACGACTCAGGGGAACTGGAACGCTGTCTCCCTCTATCTCTGTCAACCCTCTCTCTCTCTTGCTCTCTGCTTCGTTCACTTCTCCCTTGCTCCCTGTCCTCGCTCCTCTTCCTTAGCTCTTGGCTTTTGTCACTCTCTCTTTTTCTCTCCTGGTCTCTGCTGCTGCTGCTCCTCCTCATCCTCCTCTCTCTGTCTCTATCTCCATCTTGCCCCTTTCTCTGTCTACCCTGAGCTGGACTCCTTCTGTCAGGACTTTTCCTTCTTCTTTCTCTATCACTGCTTCCACCACGGGAGTCAGAGCTGGACCCAGACTTTCTCCTCATCCTGTCATGAGATGCTCCTCTCCGCGTCTCCATTTCCTTTCTGATTCTCATCATTTTAGGATCATCTGAATCAGAACTGAGACAAAAAAAAATTTGATGAAATTTCAGTGTGTGATATTTAAGTGATCTATTGGCAGGAATTAAATATAAAATAATCCTAGCGATCTTTTCACTAGTGTGTAATCATCTAAATTGTAGGAATTGTGTTTAACTTTAACCAAGAATGATCCCTTTATATTTAAATACTTTATATTTACATCAAGAGCGGGTCCTCTCTACAGAGGCCGCCATTTTTTGTTGTAAGTACATTTTTGCTCTTTTATGAGAAACCATGGTCTGACTTATTCATCAAGGGAACCAGAGCTAATAAAGAACATATTCAGAGATGTCTGTGTATCAGAGTTGAGAAGTTACACGTAAACCGTTGAAAAAAAAAAATAATTCTCTGGTGACTTTCTCAAACTGTGATGGATCAGAATCTCTAACAATCAGAACCGGTCCGTTGGAAACATTGGTCACCGGGACTCGATGAGAAGCAGCACTGACACTGAATAGAAGAAGTCCATTACCTGGAGGTCCGACCCCTCGACTTGCTCCTGGGCCGGTGTGCTCCCGGCCTCCTGTCGCTCTCAGAACCGCTTCTTGAGCCGGGACGATCTCTGTGTTGAGGCCGACGTCTGGCTGGAGATCCGCCGCTGGAGTTCCTGCTGACGGACCGTGCGCGGCCACGGGCGGTTCTTTTCGCGTCCGCGGACCGACTGCGGCCTCTCCGGTCCTCTGGAGACCGAGACCTGCTCACTCTGGACCGGTTCCGCCGCTCCCGGCTCCGGCTTCTGGACCTGGAGCGGGACCGACGTCGTGACTTCGAACTCATCGCGAAGTTCGTGTCAGTGCGGGGTCCTGGAAGTCCTGAGTCGCGTAAATAAGAGGTAACAAAGACCTCGGTTTACTGTCCCCACGGTGAAAATACAACACAGATCAAATACAAATGTGTGAATTTGTGACACACATAGGTAAATATTCGTGTTGACCTCCAACATATTCAACAAAACAATGTGATATGTGTCTTGTTATAAATTAATCACACAGGCAGGTAAAGGGTCAGCTTAATAGGGCTTTCCGGTCTGCGGCGCATATTAGTGACGTCAGGTGCATAGCTGGTGAAAATAAAGAACAAACTAATAAGAGTTAAATTTGAATACAGTTTTAACAGCACATGAAACATCCGGAGTCAATGTGCCGTCACTGACACGTGGTCCTGTGTTAAAACAACCGGGGGATGAAAATAGGTCAGAGCCGCTTCTCTCAAACACAAACAACATCGCGTTTTGGTGACGTCAGGTCATTGATAAATGAAGTTCTCTGAGTTCGCCTTTTAAAATATATATTCATGAAATACTGGTCGTAACGAAACGAGTCTGACACGTTTGGTTTTAATTTGATGCAACAAAGTTATTGTGTATGACGCCGTGTGGCCTTTCTGTTGTGTTCCGTGGAGAAGTGAAGGCTGCAGACTGGATTGAACTACAAATACCAGACGACCCAAGGCGTCAGTGCCTGTTTTGATGGGAGAGGGGGGGACTTCTTTCAACAACACTGTTCTTCACCCGGTGATGTGTTGGGACATTATCAGCTTCATATGTGACAGGAGCGAACCAGCGGCTGTGTCTTCTCTTCCGCTCCGGTGATCGCAGGAAGGTGAACACGGTCGGTTCCTCGGTGAAGTGGCCTCCAGCTGCCCGGGGAAGGTAGAGCTTTGTCGGCTAGCTCACATTAGCCAGCCCATTACCAGTAGATTTACGGCGGCTTATGTCCGGCGGCTGCCCTGCCAGGTAGATCAACTAAAGCCGGAGGGTCAGCCAACATGGTTCAGCCACTTCACCAGAGTCCGAGCGTTGACGTGTGTGAGTAATTCATTTCGATTTTTTTTGGGAACAAACGCGACCTTTTGTCTGCGTGTGCGCAGCCTGGCTGGTTTGGCCTGTTTTTCATTGTCTGCGAACAACGAGAACACACAAGTTGTTGTTGTTTGGCCGGTTCGTGGTTAACTTAAACCCGCGTTGGTGTAAACAAACCCCGTCAGCTGTCTCCTCCACAGTCCTGAGAGCCACCAGGTCCAGGATGGCGCAACACGACTCCTCTCATGTAGCCAGTTCTCAGAAAGCGCTCATGTTGGAGATGAAGAGTCTTCAGGAGGAGCCCGTCGAGGGCTTCAAAATAACACTGGTGGACGAGGCGGATCTGTACAACTGGGAAGTGGCCATTTTCGGACCCCCAAACACTCATTATGAGGGGGGCTATTTCAAGGTAAGACGAGAAAAGAATACCCCTTCACCAGACATTTTCCTTGGCACATCTGACAGTTCATTAAAACACACACACAGCACATCAATTAATAACATGTATGTGTATAGCCAATATTCACAAATCTATATTTGGCTCATAGGGTTGAACAAGGTGCGACATCATCTGCCCTCAACCCTCGACTAGAGTGAGAAAGAAAATGCAAATTTAACAGGGGAAAAAACATGGAAACCAAAAGTGAGAAATCATTCAAGTGCAATACATTTAGCTTGTAACAGGGCACATTAACTAAATAACAGTATTAGCAACTTTCAAGACAGCATCTAACATAAATGGAGAGGATCAAGGTCTAAAGTATTTATACAAGATAAAATTTCAGACAGAGAGGAAGATATCTGTATTTCACACACTCATCGATCACGATCCACGAATTATTCCCTGAGAAAACGGTGAAAATGGTAAAAATGTCCTGTCGAACAATGTTAAAGAAAGTAAAAAACCTGGATCCGCACCAATATTTAATGGCTTCTTCCCTGACCCATACCTCATCCCTCCACCAGGTTTTGTGGAAATCTGTTTAGTTGTTTTTGTGTAATCTCAGAAACAAACCCACACACAGATGGACAGGGGTCAAAGCCACGTTGGCAGAGGCAAACAGGGGATTTTCTCAGACTTTTCTCAGTTGCCAGTGTGTTGGTGTGAACGTTCCCTCAGGATACACAGAGACTTCATGCTCACCTTCTGTTTCCACAAAGCCAACAATTACCTCTGTTAACATCTGATTAGTTTGTTGGACAACCCCTGCCGCTTGAACCTTTTGTCACTTTCCAGGTTGATGCACTCATCATGCAGTGATCTGAGAGATGACACTTTCAGGACCTCTCCACAGCTATTCAGTAGTTTGAGCAGATAAAACAAACATCTCTAAAAAACATAATCAGTGTTCACATAGGAAAAAGTGTCATCTTAAAGGCGACACTCGTATGACAACGGCATCATTAAACCTCAAGCCTGTTAATGAAAATGAAGCAGTATCAGTGTAGAGTTACATGTAAATGTCTTTCTTGTTACTGTTTTGTGTCCCAGGCTCGAATCAAGTTCCCTATGGACTACCCGTACTCCCCACCCGCCTTCCGATTCCTCACCAAGATGTGGCACCCCAATATCTATGAGGTGTAGTATCACAGTCTGGCTCAGCTTTATATCCACTTGTGTGTGTGTGCTCTTGATATTGTGTTTGTTGAAATAGCTGCTCTACAGCGGTCACGTGAAAATGAAAGGAGTCGATTTCCTCTGTTTCAGAATGGAGATGTGTGTATTTCTATATTGCACCCTCCAGTGGACGACCCGCAGAGTGGAGAGCTGCCTTCAGAGAGATGGAATCCCACCCAGAATGTCCGGTTAGCAGCCACCTTCATTATCTCCCCTCTTATGTTTCCTATTTCTGGTTACCTCCCTGCTTTGTGCTCTTGAAAACCATCTGACTCGTGCCCTTATCACATGATGTTTTTCTTCAGATTACACAATATTACATACTATGCTATAGACTGCCATTGAATCCATATGCAGTTATTCTACACCGCATGTGTTACTGGATCTTTTTTTGGCCTGAGCTGTTTATAGGTGTCATTCTTTCGTAACTCATCTGTTATATGTAGAATCATACAATGTGTAGAAATATACTGCTCAGTTAAAAAAATATTTTAATTTCTTTGTTATAACACCCACCACAAAGGTGGAGTATGAATTACTATGGATTGTATAGTTGTACCTTGTAAAGGGGTGCAGACCAAATTCAGATAGCTCAATAGAAGTAGTTCCAAGAAAACTGTCATGAAGGAGAAAGTTGACTAAATATTCTTTATTTATTTATTAAATTAATAATTAATGTTTGTATTCTTCAAAAATACCTAGTAATTTCTGGAAGATATTTGTTCACACTGAATTCATTAAACACATTCTCTTTTCACTCACATGTGTGTTTTTCTCCAGGACCATTTTACTGAGCGTGATCTCGCTGCTGAATGAACCCAACACCTTCTCTCCTGCTAACGTGGACGCTTCTGTCATGTACCGTAAATGGAGGGACAGCAAGGGCAAGGACCGTGAATACGTAGAAATCATCAGGTACAATTTCAAACAGTTTTTTTCACATGATAAGCTCTTCCTGAGGAGTCAGTGTGTGAGTGTTTTCTTAATTTATTCCTTAGGAAACAGGTTTTGGCCACTAAAGCAGAAGCAGAGCGTGATGGCGTGAAAGTCCCAACCACGCTAGCAGAGTACTGTGTCCGCACACGCGTCCCTGCCCCTGATGAAGGCTCCGACCTCTTCTATGACTATTACTATGACGACGACGATGTGGAGGACGGGGACGGTGACTGTTGCTATGATGAGGACGACTCAGGCAACGAGGAGTCATGACATGCTTTTTGACAGCACCGCAATCTAGCTGACAAAGCTACCCCCTTTTTTTCTGCCCGGGTTGCCAGATATTCGAGGTCTACAACCAAGAAAGATTTGAAGCTTCCCACTTCTAAACCAATGAAATGAGCTGTTTTTACCTTAACCTCTCGGGAGGATAGAATCGATGCGTCGTTGTGGAAGGGTCAGACCTGGTAAAGATTTCCACCAGCATAAAAGTCACCAATTTCGCCAGTTTCGCAGATTTCTTCACCACATCAAACCTTATTTTGAGAAAATAACTTAAACTATCGCTTTATCCCATTGAGTTGTCCAGTCCACTGTACAGTTTACGATGTTGGATCCACATTAGCAACATTTGCCACACTTCCAAACTTTTCTCAGCCTCTCTCCTGCATATCTTTATTTCCTTAATTGTAATTGGATAGCGCTGCCCAGCAGTTGGTCTATGTGACCAACGAATGAAGAGGAGCCTGACTGTGTGGAGCAGTTTACTGCAAACACATTGAATCAGACATTTCCGAGTTTCACAGTCTCCTCGCTTCAACACAGAGGATATGAATTGACACAGGCCTGTGTTTTCAAAGTTCCTGTGCATGCCTGAACATCGTTGGAAGCGTTTTTGACTGAAGGACGATTCACCTACATCGTGATCTGTTCTCAGCTTGCTGTTGACAAGCACGTGTAATAATGGAGGACGGCGTCTGTGTGACCGGCTGGCGAACTCAGTCGGTGGCTCAAAGTCCTCATGAACATTTTTTGCTAACGTTGATCTTTGCCGTGTTTCTTCTGGTTACTGTTGGATGTGTTTCTCTGTCATTTTGAGTGGGGGTTCTGTTATTTGAAGTAGCTGATATAAGAGTTGTGTAGGATTACCATGTTTTTCAGGGTGGGGGGTGGTGGTTGTGGTGTTGGGCAGAAATAATTATTGATCCGAGCAGTATTTCTCCTTAGGTTTGTGGCCTGAAAGAGCCAACAACCCGAAACCAGTTTAAAAGAAAGCCCAATATATTTCATGACTGTTTGTTGTATTCTTGTCTTCTTTTTGTTCTCTTGCAAGCTTTGTTATTTTACTCTCTTTCTTTGGGTAGACATTATGTCTGCAGTCTCTGCTTGAGAATGTTTCTTTTTTGTGATCAGATTATTAGCAAAAAAAAAAAAAGCTTCTGTAGGAAAAGTGTCTTTCACAAGGTGTTGTTGCTGTTTCAGTCAAGATTATCACACTTTTTTGGCCCTGGACACGAGGAAGAGGAAGGACATCATGACTTATTTCTATTTCAGTTCTTTGTGTTGGCTGACAGTAGACAGGTTTTGGTATAGTACGTTCTAAAGCGTATGGGTCTTCTCTTTGCCTGATTTTGCATTAGCGATCTTGATTGTTTGCTTAAATCGGGACTTCAAACTGAATTTCTCAGGATAATGAATTACATTATGACGAATTCAATTCAAACGAGCGAATATCTGTTCTTTTTAGGTTTTATTCAGGGTTTACAGCTTCAACCGGACCCATAACTGATATGCACATGTAGCTGTATGGATGATCACCATGTTGTTTTACTCACTTGCGTTAATTTTTTATTTCCTGCTATTAAAAACTGAAAAATAAAAATGTATTGGAAAGCGATATACATAGTCTTGAACATTTATTACCAGTAACCTGTAATTGCAGGCTTTATCTGTGGATGACTTCTATCAGAAAAACCTCATCATGGGTGTATTTTTTAAATTACATCCATTACATTCATTTCATAACATACAATAATTTACTGTTAAATTGGTAATTAACACCTATAATCACTCTTTACGTCACTAATAATACATAATACAAGTGCTGCAAATAACTATTATAAATGAACACCAATGTTTTTCATAGAGAAAAGGGGTATCAGACAGGCTCCAGCTATGTAAAATCTGTTCATTCTTTGAAAGAAAAGACATCGGTCTGGATTCCTACATGACAAGAATATGTTTCTTTTTATAGAAACATACATAAAATACAAACAAAACTTTCACAGAGAGCATTTACATATAGACAAAGATAATATCAAGTTGTCAACATATGAAAGGGGGATATTAAGACTAGAAATATAAGGAACTAAAGACATGAATTCACAAACCTCCACACATTGGACCTCCATATGGGGGAGATGAATCAAAATAACAAGAATGTACATATATTTATACATTTCATTGTGACAGTGGATTTTCTTTAGTGATAAAAATCATTTAAAATAATTTGAAAGACAATAAAAGAGGGCTTGGATTTCTTCCAGTTATTTCAATGAAAGTTATGTTCAAACATAAGTATTATCCTGTCAACAATGTCAGTGTATGGTGAACTTAGATTGGCCAAATAGAAAGGAAACTAAACGCCAAGGATTGGATATATTCTTTATTTACAGTCTGTGGGTCGGACAGGAAGTAGTTGCCTCTACTCTGTAATCTCAGTGAACGCAGCATATGTCGTCGCACAGAGATGACGTCAGGCAAACTGCGCCGCTAGCATCCCGCTGTGTAGAAAACACACGGGAAGAGATTTCTAAACAAAAACAGCGAGGACAAAAACACAGTCATGTCTGTGAATTACGCCGCTGGCCTCTCTCCGTATGCGGACAAAGGTGTCTGCGGACTCCCCGAGGTAAATTCACACGAATGAAACGGAGCTACATCTCATAAAGAGGCGGTTAACTGAGCTAGCATGTTAGCCGAGGGTGTCAGGTTCATGCATGTTTGGGATGTGGAGGGAGAAGAAGATTTAGATCCTTTATAAACATTTAGAGATTTAAACACAAGGACCCAAAGTAAAGGTTTTAGGTAAGAACGAGTACGGGGAAGAGTGTTCAAGCATTAAAAGTAGTATTTATGTTATAGCTGGGCATTAAAACAATATCAGGAGATATTGTAGTATAAATCTCATCAGTAGCAATATAAGAAAGGACCAATATGAGTCGATATGATGGTTAGGTGTTGTGTAAGCACAGTGAGGAGATATAATCTACCTCAGATGTAGAAAACCTTTTCCTCTTTATCAAGTGTTTGTCATTCTCTGCTCATGAAGAAGAGTTTAAAACCTTCACTAAGGAGCAGATATCAGTCTCTAAACTTCAACAGTAACATCGTGATAAGTATCGATATATGCCATCATGACATTATTAAATCTTGATACCATTTTTACCTTGTATTTATGTTTATGTAAATTATCTAAAAATGTAATACCTCTGTGTAGTAATGTAAAGGTTATTCATTTTATGGATGTAGCCCAAATACTGGGAAAAGCCGACATTCACTTGAAATATTTATACAGTACTTTTCCTTTTTGAGATCATGTCTGCAAATGGATGGATTTTAAAAATGTTAATATTTTCTTATTTACAGGCTTCATATCAATCATTAGATATTAACTTTATATTTCACACAGCTTGAACACAACATTAAGATCAAAATCCTAATGTAGTGTTCAAGCTGTCTCGACTTGCTTGCACAATATATATATATATATATATATATATATATATATGACTCATCCCTCATGTTGATTGAGCTCTTAGTCATTCCCAACACGATTGTATTTTGTGCTGTGGCAGACGTTCGATAGTCCTGAGGAGGTGAAGGTGAAGGTGGAGACTCTCGCCCAGTTGATTAAAGAGTCTCAGTTCTTGGTCGTCCACTCTGGAGCAGGAATCAGCACCTCCGCAGGAATTCCCGACTTCAGGTGAGGCACAAAACAAAGTCATTTCTGTTTCTTTTTCTTTATCGCCATTTACTGTTCCTGCACATATTTCTTGTGACGTTATATCTGCATGTACTGATGGAAATTTTTAAAGAAAAATGGATAAAGAAATCTTACATTTATGCACATTTTATACATGAGGTGGTGCTAATTCTCCATTCAGGTGCTATTATGTAACTTTGCAGTTTTGTCAAAACACAATGTTTTCCACATGTTCCAAGTGTACAAATTATTTGTGATATTTTAAGATTTTATTTCCACCCCAGTTAGACTTAATGGTACAGTGTGTGGAATTTAGTGATATGGAGTGTTGAAGTTTTATGTTGCAGCTGAGTGCCCCTCGGCTCACCCTGCTCTTTCGAACATGACAGAGAACCTGTGGTAGCCTTCAGTTGTCATAAAAACTCAAAAGGTGTTGAGTTTGTCCAGTCTGGACTACTGTAAATAAACATGGTGTCCTCCATAGAAAGGGTATGTATTGATGTAAATTAAAAAGTATTTAAATATAAAGGGCTTTTTCTGGGGTAAAGAAAACTACAATTCATACAATTTAGATGAAACGAACTAGTGAAAACATCATGAGGATTATTCTACATTGAATTTCTGCCATTAGATCCCTTTCACCTAAATCTTACACACTGGACCTTTAAATGTCTATCAAAGGTTTTTTGTTTATGACAAATCAGAAAATCCATTAGTCTGTATTTCTTTCATGGGCCAACAAACATATTCAAACACATCCTTTAGTTGGACTCAATGCATAACATTTTCTTAAATAGTTTTAAGAAAAGTGTCTCTGACAGGTCAGAAGCAGGGAAATTGAAATGAGAAGAAGGAACAAACTGTTTCAGAAATTGGAAGTTGGAGAGGAGAAAATGACTGTAACTGCATAGTGCCATTTCGGATTTTATGTCAGCCTTGGAAATATAGATGTATTCATGTGAACACCATAGAGGAGTTCTTTTTTTATCTTGTTTTGAATTTCAAATAGTGACCGTCTACGTGTCATCCATCCAACCATGAGCTAAAGCGCCCATTTTGAGGGTCATGTTGACACAACAAGGACCTCTTGGTGTATTCACCTGGTTTCTCTTGTACAGGGTTTCCACTGGGTCTTACAAAGCCTAAAATTTAATAATCTCAATTTTAGTACTTAGTTTTATGTACTAAGTGTTAAAGTAAAATATGTTTTATAATAGGTTTGTATTAATTATGTTAAAGTTACTTCCATTACGCTTTGGAATTATTTTTTTAGAGAAATGTTTTTGCTTCATGCATAGTTTGTAATGTCTCTGTTTGTTTTAGCTCTTTCTCAACGATACTGATATTAGTGCATTATGATAAAACTACAAGCAAGACCAATATGAAACTGATAAAGTACTACACTCACTTGTGTGTGTACTGAGGCAGTGCAGTGTGAGGCTGTGGGAGAGACTATGGATACCTACTGTCTGTAGTTGACCTATAGTTTGTGAGATAACGTGGTGTTTCGAGGGTTGCCCTCATCTACCTTCAACATCAGTTATGGGGAAGTGAAAATATTTCTGAGACTCTGATATTTATTTATTCCTGTCGTACTTGACATATGATTTAAATTTCATTCATTATGGCCGTAAAAAAAAATCTTAAATTTAATTTTTTTAAACTTGCAGAATCCCTGTTGCAGTACCTCTGGTTGAGCATATGAGGGAGGTACAGCTTTTTGTAAGATCGACACTGCTTTGATCTCTTCTTTTTCTTCTATAGTAATAATTTCCTTTGTTTCTGTGCAAACACAAGTTTGCCTCTACCAACTGAGTTGCAACACATAAAATAAAGAATCAATCAAATTTTATTTGCATAGCCCATATTCCCGAATCAGAATTTGTCTCATAGGACTTTTACAAGGTCGAAATCCTTTGTCCTTAACCTTCAACGAGAGTAAGGAAAAACTACCAAAAGAATGCAGAAACCTGAGAGAGCCACATGTGAGGGATCCCTCTCCCACGATGAACAGAAGTTCAATAGATGCTGCATGTAACTTGCAAGAACTTATATTGTTTTACACATTCTTTCATTCATTCTTTTTTTTCTTGTTGTTCAGCTAGTGTGAATGATTAGACCAGTCTGCCTGTCAGGCAGGTAGACTCGACCTTGGACCGCCGCATCATTAAAGCCAAGGTTTTGCATCAGGAATATTATCGCAAATCATATTCCCACTGCTGCCACATACACACACACAGCCACACACACAATCAAACACAGCCTTATTTACCAGCATTACAGATCCTCTGTGGCTTTCATGTCTTTCAGCATCTCTCATGGTGATAAGCATGTAATAAATGATTTAGGTGCCTCTCCGTTAATACCGCTAGTCTTTGAACTGGTGTTGGCAGAGCAGGCGGTGAATCATATTGGTGATGAGATATGGGGCCGTTCGAGTTCACATAGAAAGCGAGAGATGAGACTGTTGTGACTGCATCAGAGGATTCACAGGCTGCGTTCCCTTGTTTGATGCATAAAGATAAGTTGTGCGTCCTTGAAGTAACTTGCGGCCGTCAGTTTGTCAGATGGCACCAGGACTCTCATCAGCGCTGTGTTCATCCTTCACTCAGACGCATAAGACTGAATGGTTAAGTAAAGAAGCACGAAATGAATGATGGTGGATTGTACAACAGTTTTAATGTATTTCACCCCAAAAACTCTTTGCTGTGAGACATTTTTCTGTCATGTTCATTAATTGTTACTTTTGTGAAACGTGGGATAATTTTGTTTAATATATTTTCTCAAATTTTCTTTGTAGATTTCAGAAGTGGGTGCAGTGTGTTTTTGTAACCATAACCATATACCTAATTCATCACTATCCTCCTCTCCAGGGGTCCAAAGGGAGTGTGGACGTTAGAAGAAAAGGGTGAGTCACCTCACTTTGACACCACGTTTGAAGACGCTCGGCCCAGCTTGACTCACATGGCGCTCGTGGGCCTGCAGAGGGCCGGATACCTCAAGTATCTCATCAGCCAGAATGTGGATGGCCTGCACGTCCGCTCAGGATTCCCCAGGTATCTCCACTCTGCCTCCTGTCCTGCAGCATGATATACTCACTTCACGCATCTCACACTAAACCACTTAAAGTTGAGTAGCTCTCAAACCAGTATGAGAGTTTTTCCACAACATGGGTGCAGGAGAACAAGCTGTAAATACAACACTGTCGTGATTATTTACATAACCGATAAATCTGGTGATGTATTTTTTATTTTTATAATTTTTCAGTTACTGTCTACAAACTGTGAAGTTGCCTCTTGCAGTTTACATAATGCAAGGGAAAGTAATCATGTCTTTTTTTGTCTGACCAGCCGTGCAAAGATACTCTGTTTGCTAATATGTTAAAGCAAGAACATCTATAACATTTATAAGTTGTATAAAACTATATATCCATTTTCAGACATGAACACTGGGGAATGTTCGCACAATTGGCACTGTAATCTTTTTGCCTTTCACGTGTGATGAATGCAGCAGCAGCAAACCTCCTGTCTCACTAAAAGATCTCGAATGTTGTTTCCAAGGTGATATATTTTTTCCATGTTTCCTATGTGTATGGCTCCTTTGTCATGCTGAGTTATCCGCCCTCAGGAAATCTTCTTTAGAATCTCCTCTTTTCTCACATTCAGACATTACCTGGAGTTTTTACTCGGGGGGGCGGAGAAGAAGCTGTTACCTGCACTCACAAAGACACACTGCACAGAGGCGCTGCTCTTTGGTACAAATTAAAATGGCGGAGGGAACTCAATATTCCCAAGTGTGGTTACACTTCGGTAAAGCTGATGCTTGTTGCCACAAATGCAACACTTAATTTACATTTGAGGACAGAAACACAAGTGGTGTGTTCAAACCGTAGACTGTATACAGTATAAAGATGGACAACGTGACTGCTCTTTAAAAGCGAAGCAGTAACAGTCATAAACAAAAAAAAATGTTTTCTCTTATTATAGGCCCTTTTTATCACAATGATGAAGTTTCTGTAAGTTTTCTTTTGTTAGTTATTTGATGCTATTAAAATGGGTGAAAGGGATATTTGCCTTCATTTCGGGATAATCGGAGGACGTGGAGATCTGTCATCCATCTTAGTCTATGGTCCAAACATAATGGCAAAGTCCATCACATTCTGGGAGGAGAGATGTAGTTTTCAACAGCCTGACTCATATTTCATCTGCCGTTGCCCCAGGTACGTTAGCCTGCACAGGCTAAGTAACTAAATTATACCACCATGATTCATAAAGCGAATCTGATGTGTTCATAAGGTCAAAGCTTCAGTTTCAGATGAGTGCAGGAGCAGACTGCAGGCAAAGAAAAAGTACTGCATTTAATTTTGTATCTGAGTTTTACTTCAAAGTAAAAAAATTATACAGAGATCTGCATTTTTCAGAACATTGTAGCTAAAGCACTTACATTTAGACAAACACATATTCAAGATGGAGCTGTGTGATGCTTGGATAGTGCTGGAGAGTTGAATTATTAATAATGCATCATATTTTATTTGTTGTATTTTCAGGTAAAATGTGTGATGCTCAGAGTGCTTTGATCTGAGATCTAATGGTCATGTCAAATTCATAACCTCACTCATTAATTTTTTAAAAAGATCAAAAAGAACTGATGAGAATACAGTGTGAAGGTGCTGGATGAATAAGCAGTATTGATTAGAGTTGTAGTATTGTTAAAATATTAACGTTAGCCATCCCCATTTGTTTATAATGGTTTTACTTTTAACATTCTACAAGTATGCAGCTTATGTAAGATGTGTGAGATATCACATTGCTTTTCACATGTGTGGTTATGACTCATTGATTTCAATGTAAAGCTGCTGCTTTGTGATAACAGCTGCAACAGCACCAGACATGAGACATGCATGAGACGCAGATCAAATAATTCTCAGTGTAATGGAAATTGTTTTGGTCTAAATCTGGATCTTCCAATGATGTTGGTATTAACAAAAAAAAATCCACATTTTCATTTAGTACTTAGACCCACAATTACCTTTCCTGGAAGCCATCTTGGCTCTGACTCTCTCCTCCGTCAGTCAGGCAGTAAAGTGGAAGCTCTCTGAGGAAATCGCAGAATGCAGATTATTGAATTAAACAGGTTGATGCTTCTACTTGCAGCTGCCAGAACTCAAAGGTACATTAAGTACAAGTACTCTGAATATTTATATCACAGGCTCATTTGCAAAGAAGCACTGAGCAAGTGTTGTGCAGAAGACTCCTGACATTACCATTAACTTTAGTCTAAATGAATTTCATCTCTCTGATCTTTGTGGACTTTTTTTTCCTGTCACTCTCTTAGGGATTTGTTATCAGAGCTTCATGGAAACATGTTTGTGGAGGAGTGTGAGAAGTGCGGCCGGTAAGTATGCACACAAACACACACCCACCCACGCATGCACGCACGTTCCAAACTCTGATTATTCTCGTCTTTAAAAGCTTCACTTTATTAGTTACACTCACTTGGCAATTTGTAATTGTTACAATGGGGAATTGTCACAAGAGAACAAGTTTTAGAAATAACCTTTCGATATTGTGATAGGATGCTCCATCTGCACACGCAGCACTGTCTCTCATACACATCCCTGAGAGGGGATGGCAGATTAGCAGGTTATTAAGGTAGAGGAATGTTTGGTCATTTTGGTTTAAAATGTAGAACAAATCACTCAGTGGGTACAATACAAACAGGAAGAGTTTCAGTCACTGTCATCACACATGGTGCCAGATGTGGTGTTAGCATCTGAATAAATAAATAATTAAAACAAATAAACTGCACTCAAAAGCAACTCTGAAATTGATGACATCTCGTCAATTAGAGACATCAGAGGAGAAAGGCCAGACTTGTCAAAGATCACACGAAGTGAGGAGAACAGGTAGTAACTTGTACAGGAGATAATTTCTGAACGCACAAATGTTGAACTCTGACACAGATACACTGCAGCGGCAGAGAAACCGTGTCACACCTGTAGAATAATAATAAGAAAACTGCAGTAGACATCAGCCTTTCACCTCAAAATGATTCCTGGAGCACGTCAGCGACCGTGTTTTCTAGTTAATTAATGTTTCTCTGGTTAAACAGTGGTGTTTATGGTTCTCCAGGCAGTATGTCAGAGAAAAGGTGATCGGTGTGATGGGCCTGAAACCGACAGGACGTTACTGTGACGTGGTGCGCTCCAGAGGACTCAGGGCCTGCAGGTAACGTGTACGCACTTGTGCATTTTGAAATGATGATTTACCATTTGTTATTTATTCATGTGCATTCATGTACATTCTTTACTACAACAGAGGGAAGCTTATCAGCACCATACTGGACTGGGAGGATGCTCTTCCTGACGGAGACCTGAACAAAGCAGAAAATGCCAGCAGGTGAGACAGATACTATTGCTGCAGTTTGTGCTCAATTGTTTCCCTTTTACATTTTATTACTGGCCGTTTTGTTTTCGGTTCAGCGTCCACCTTGACAAACTATCAAAAACACTTCCTTTCCTTAGCGCTTTGCTTCTTTTAGCTTCCTGACACGCAGTTTATTCTGCTTTATATTTCCTTTCGCCTCAAGTGTCAACCTTTTCTATCCTTTAGCTACAAAACATGTGTAACATTTATCTACACAATGGCAAGATGAATTAAATGTATGTGCTGCATCTTGATGTATTGTGTGTAACCCATATCAGGTAAATATAAACTGTTTAACTGGAGTCACTGTTCTACCCATTCCAGTAACTCACTACGCTCGCACTAATGTTGGTTGAACATGATACCTGAACGGGAGCTTCAGGTTTGATGCAGCTTTTTGTTGGAATGAGCTGCAATTTGTCCTTCAACTGCAGTCTCACATTCCCCATGCCATTTTAAATCTTTGTTATGTGAGGTTTTCATGATTCTTGTAATTTTAAGTCCTTATTGTGTTGCTTCTATTTTTTTTAACTCTGTGTTGTGTTGTCACCATGAAAAAGAGATCAGACATCTTAATGAGACTGCCTGATTAAAGGAGGTTAAATAAATGAATAAAAATAAGAGGAGACCGGCCAATGTTTTCACTCTGAAACACCAGAGTTAAAACATTGTATAAACAACTATATTTAATGTATGAATACTTTGGTCATTGGTTTTAATGTTGATTTATGTTTATGTTTATTCTGAACCATCTGTTATTTTCAATGGCTTCTTTTCTTGATGTGAAGTGAAAAATACATTAATCAACATTTAAGTTTCAATGTTATTGCTGATAAGTTTACAAAATACATATTTTTGTGTGAAGGAAATTGAATATTTCGTTATCCCTGTGAAATATCTTTTAGGATTTTTGAAACACTTCAGAGCCGCCATACATTTGCAGAAAGTGCGATATAATTATTTTTTAGGTCAGTAGGTAAAGTAACTATTTTAGTTAATGTTGAAAGTTAATTCACACGTAATGGTTAAACATCAGAGGCACAAAATGTCTACATACTCTGTTTCCTTCTTCAGTTTGCTTATATTTCATCTCTTTGACTGTAACAAGGAATAATAATAACATATAATTAATAATAATACAATTACGGTTTTATCATTTAAATTCTCACTTGTTTGACTACATTTTGCAGCTTTATCATCTTCAAACCAACAGTGGAAACAGAAAACACAAGTTGTCATAAGTGACCAATCGGTTCTTGTTGGCACCACATGTTATTCCTGCAGCCATTGCAGCTCTGACGTGTAGCAGCTCACACCTCATCTCATTACAGTAAATTCACATTAATAACAAACAGAAAACAACACAAGCGGCTGCAGTTGTTGTTTATGTGTGACATATTTCTCTACTGTTGACTCACAGACAAGCAGACCTGGCACTGACCCTCGGCACGTCTTTGCAGATCAAACCCAGTGGAGACCTTCCGCTCCTAACCAAACGCAAAGGAGGGAAAATAGTCATTGTCAACCTGCAGCCTACGAAGCACGTGAGTCTTAATCATACAACATAAACCCACACACATGTTTATATACGGAAGCATCCAATGGCACATGATTTACTGTGTGTACTGGGGTTTTAGAAATGCTGCTCTGATGCTCTGTCTGCCATAATGAAGAATACAATATCTGATATTACAAGTATAAGTCATAATATTACAAATATCTAGGGTTCCACTCCTGTATCCAAAATCTTGAACCAATCTCAGTGTTTCTTGAGAAACAGAGAATTCTCTTCGAATATCACACAGATGTAACCAACAATAAACTCACAGTCCACCATTTCCTCCTCCACAGGCAAATTGCACCAAGACTGTGCTTCTTTTTTCAAACTAGACACTGTTTCTTACACAATCTTTTCAGACTCATGATACTCCTGATAATGTGGTGCTGATGTAACAAAATATTAATTGTCTTGTTATTTGCGAAAACCTGAATTTAAGTATTTCCTCACAAGCCGCTCCTGATGTTCCCCTTCTAATAGGACATGTAGCCTAAAATTATGACTTTCTTCTTGCAATATTATTACTACCATAATACTCCTATACACACATTCCTGTTTTTTGTTTCACGGTTGTAATATTTTGTCTCATAGGACAAGCATGCGCACCTTCGTATCAACTGTTACGTGGACGAGGTCATTAAACAGCTGATGGAACTGCTGGGATTGGAAATCCCAAAGTGGGAAGGGCCGACCGTCTGCGAAAGCTCCACAGGCGCCTCAGAGTCCGCCCACGATGTCAAACCACCACGTGCTCTTCCTGCAAAAAAAAGGGCTAAAAAGAACCTTGTTAAGGAGGAGAGGAAGAGAGAAGCAGCACAGCTAACGGACAATGGGAGCGTGAAGGAGGAGATGATTTCAGTAAAAAGAGAGAGAGAAGACGCCCCAGTGGTGATAAATGAAGAGAAATAGCCTCAGGTATTTTTTTTCTCTCGACTGCGTCTCGACACAAACCCATCCAGAAACAAAGTTTACATGTGAGGGTGTTCGGTTTCATCAGTTTCACAGATGACGGAGGTTCTGCTCATCTAACGCCCTCTGGAGCAAATACTTCAATTGTACTGAAGTGGTTTTGTCAATCCTAGATTTGTTCTACTTACTGTCACAGCAACAATGAACAGCAAATAGAGGTTCATCTCTGTAAAAAGATTCTACATGAGAATATGTAGAATGTGTAGGCGAGGGACAAGATTTTGGGTTGGGAAGCCTTCTGGTTTCCTGTTTATAGTATGACCAATTATGTTTGAGCAGGCTTTGGTTGCATGCAGGTAAACAGTCTGTGTGGAGAACAAAAGAGGCGTAACACACTGACCACATTGAAAACTGTTCATTACCACATTTTGTGCTTGTTTCTAGGAAAGTGTTTTTTATCTCAGGAAAAAGTCTTGTACTTTGTCTGCCATTTTAAAGTTTTTTTATATATATAGATAATGGCATTAAAAATAATAAGTAACTATGCTCTGTGCTGTGTTCTCTGCATGCTGTGTAAGTGCTGACTGCCAGCAGTGTCCTCTGTTTTTCAAACGAAATGAAAAAAAGCCAGATGAGTCTTTGTCTGCCGTGACGCTTCCTCGCCGTCACTGAGGACAGAATCTATACACTGCTAGTTAAAAGATTCATTAGGCATCACTGCATCGTGAATGAAGGTGGTAATCGAACCTTCTTGTCAATGGGAAGAGGAGAGAAGTGCCTCCACCTTTAAAATACAGATTCCGGGAAAAAACAAAACCTGCATTTTAATTGCACCTCAGTTTTCTTTAGTAATTAAGATAATTCATTCCCCAATGCCACAGCTGCACAGTGGGACAAAGGTGTTTGTATGTGGAGGCGATTACTGTGCGGATCACATCGCTGCATGCCTGATGTTGAATGTGCTTCGGCCATTTAGGCACTTTGTTTTCCTGGACATAGGAGCAACAGCTGTAACGCCTACACACGCTCAGTCAACCTGCGTGTCTCATGAATTGTCCTCATTAAGGCTCTGGAGACACTGTTTAGTGTTCGTGGGCAGAAATGATTTGCATATTGAGTGAGGGAGTGAGATTCCATTACAAGTGGTCACTCCAGACACGTAGAGGTGCATTTAAAAGCCATGTGTGAACTGACGTACTATTCACTGATAATAATACGAGGTCTGAAGTGGACCTTATACTTGTTTGATGGATATTTTTCAGACCAGATTTTACAAAAGGAAAAACTAATTTTGAAAAACTCAATTTGCTTACATCCCTGTCCATTTAAAGGGATAGTTCACCCAAAAATGATTCACTCATTATCTACCCATTACTATGCTAATGGTGGGTTGGGTGAAGTGTTTGAGTTCACAAAACCCTTTTGGAGTTTCAGGGGTAAAAAGCAATACAATTGAAATAAATGGTGACTCCTTCAAATGTAAAAAAACATAAAATGCCTCCATATTGCTCCTGAGGTGTCAGGCATTTCCAATTATATGCCTTTTGGAGATCGGTTCATATCCTACTCACTTTACTATTCACAGTAACAAATTGTTTTACCAGGGGTTCCTAAACCTGTGTATGACATTGTACTTTTGAAACGAAACACTTTGCAGACAGGATGGATAAAGGATTTAAACAAGAAGGGAACTAACTGCTGTGAAAGTGCCTGTGTTGTTTTAACTTAATAAAATGTTTACATTGATAAATAACCAATATCCACAAACGTTTTACGTTGGCAAGAACTTTATAAATGTATAAATAAGAAGAGCCTTGGAAGAGTTTGGTTCTCTGTATATGTCAAAAAACGGGATGCGTACATCTGGAGCGTTAATTAGTTAATTAATTAGTGGCACATGAGCGAACAATTGTGTAGTTTTCCAGGGAATATACGGCACCTTTTCCTCTTGGCAGGGCCACCCCTGACAGCGCCTCCAGCACGGAGCTCTTCCCAGAGCTTTGGTCTCCTATGACGGCGATGGCCGGCAGCGCCAGGTCCTTCTCCACACCCAGAGAGCGGAGCGAGTCGATGAGGTCGATGCAGGGACGCACCTTCTCCTCATACTGCTCGTTCAGGCTGTTCATGGTCGGGACTCCTGGTCGGTGATGGAGACAGAGAGTTCAAGAAGGAGCCAGAGACAGCAGCTGGTCGTGCGATGCTGAGAGAGGGAGAGCCTGGTGGTTCCGCCTCGTTCAGTCTTTTATATGCTGGCAGTGAGGCTGAATCACAGAAAGCTGAAGTTAGGTTTCGTTTCCTCGACTTTCATGTACTTGCAGCGGCTGCATCATGTTCGTTCACTCAGAGGAAATGATAACTCTTGATATATTTAATCTGCGTAAATCTAGTCTGCTTTGACTGTTNGGTAAATTTAACAAAAATAAAGTTTTTCAGGTCCAACATAGGACAGGGAAGATCAGAGCCATGTTGGCTCTTACAAGTTTCAGTCAGAATATTGAGGAATGGTTTCTGAAAAGTTTTCAGACTCCATCATTATAAAGTGGAAAAGCTATGCACTAAGTTACAGAAAGGCCATGAGGAGTCAGTCAGTGGCGGCATGGTTTGAGTTGGCACAAAGAGACTAGACGACTGTTGATGTGGTCTGATGAAGCCAGAATCAAGTCTGGAGGAGAGCTTATTAACTTTGTAACGCTCACAGCTGTGGAGCTCTATGGCACTTTTAAGGAAAGTGAGAACAATGAACGTAGCCAACAAGGTCAGACTAACCTGTTGCAGTGTTAATGGCCTCTTAGACTGAAGAGTTTATGCTCCTAAAAAGGCAGTCACACTAGATCGTTGGAGGAAATCATTAACTGAATGAGACAGCAAGTGTGTTGAGTACTTGAATCTCATTAAAGTGACTTGATAATGGATGATAACAGTCTGTTTATAGACAGTGTTCAGCATGAGCGAGCCTGAGCAAGACTCTGAGGAACAAAAGTTAAGCTTTCTGCAAATGGGATGAAGATGAAGTACGTGCCGCTTCAGGGTGAATCAGCTTTAAACATAGTATTCATTTTTTCTCAATTTCACTTTAATGGCCCATAACTGTCCCTCTGGGTTGAAAACACTGTCATCAAATCCTCTGTGATGAGTCCAGTAATCCTGAAACTAACGTAATTCAAACAAAATCAGACGAATCTCCATCAAATGCAGGTGGCAGCAGATTCATAGCAAGATTATATTTGCTTTAATGTCAAACTGAATGAAGTGCTGGGAAATGTGTAACGAGCAAATCCATGATTTCCGAAAATGTATGAGCCATTAGAGACTGTTTTGAGACTGTTTTCCTCGACACCTGAAGGTTTGAGTGTCAAAAAAAGAGAGAAAAGAGAAATAAGTAGCTGTAATTTACTCATAAATTGGAAGTAGAACTGTTCAAAAAGACTCTTAATTGAGTTGAACTGATTTTATCACAAGCTCCCTCTTTGACCCAGGCTGATTGCAGGCGTCATGAACCTTCTCATTATCGTCCAAGAACAATTTTCAGGGCAGTCACCTCCTCTCTTTGCTCTTTTTGAAGGATGAACCACATTATCAAAACTTGCATCTTAATTGTAATGTGACTAATTGCTGATAAAACGGCGCTAACAGCTGCATCCAGATTCATCGCCTCCATTCTCGACAGAAAAGATTCTCCAGAGAGTGACGTGTTGAAAACAGCATAAATTCACTTAATGTTCACTTAAAGAGATCAAAGCTACAAGTCACTCACACAAACATTCATACAGGGATGCTATTTATAGCACTCAACCCTTCACACTGCAGTTAGGCTTTAGTGTCTTGTCCATTTGTGCTGTGACTAATAGAAGAGCTCAAAGTTTTCACAATGAAAACTATGGGATGTGGCTGAAAGCAGATTGACCATGAGCTTTCAGCCGGAGCTTTCAACCACATCTCATTAGGTCTTCATCACCGTGCAGCTGAAGCTCTTTGTGATCAATAGCATCAGTTGACAGCTCGACATGATGTCGACCGTATTAAGCAGTCGAGCCTTTATCCAGACTTCAACTGCAGCCTGTGGCATTCATGATGAAAACTGGGAAACGTGGTTGTGATCTTCTCCTGCTGAAGACCATTAAAAGTGGTTGAAACCTCATCATGGTTAAGACGTTTAGAAGCAGTTGAATTTTCCTCATAATGAAAACAATGAGAAACGTTCAATATTTAAAGCTTTCAACATGCAACATGCAATTTCAACAATAGATATCACAAAATTCTACACACTGTACCTTTAAACTTCAAGCCCTGTTGAAACTTGTGAGATGTGGCTGAAAGCACCAGAAAACGCTGAATTTCGATTTAAGACTAAGTGGAGCTCTGAAAAACGGGAGGAAGTGGACTTTGAGTCAAGATTACAACATTGACATGAAGTTGGGATTGTCTGTCAAACAACAGAATTGACCAATCCATAAATTCCTGCACAATAGTAGGAAATAGTGTGTACCCAAAAATAAGACTTTTCTTCAGTGGGAGCTTTTGTGCTGTTTTGCAAACATCTTTCCATACTGACATGCAAACATGCATCATGTCTATACTAAGAGCTTTTATTATTATCCCCTCCAAGTGTGACTGACCTATTTGTTTCTTTTTTTATACATCACTCCTGCACATCATCTTTAATGACAGCACAGTGGTGCAGTGATTGGCACTATGGCTTCACAAGAAGAACAATCTTTCTGTGTGTAGTTTGCTCCCAATTTCCTCCCAGTGCCTCTTTATTCTCTGGCTACTCCAGCTTCCTCCCAAAGTGCAGAGACATTCAGGTTAGATTAGATAGAGACTCTAAATTGTCTGTAGGTATAAATGTGAGCGTGAGTGGTTGTTTGTCTCCAGCCCCTCTGTTACCCTCGAAGGATAAATGTGAAGCTAATGAATGAACATCATCTTCGACTATCTTCTATTTGGAATGAAACATTTTGAGGCTTTAACTTATTAGGGATGACACTCACCGACAGTAGTATGTTCCTCAAGTGGTTTTCTTCAGTGGCACTCAGGAAATTGCTGGCTGTCCTTGAAGATGAATAGCCGGGAGCACTATACCTGTCAGATTGGTTTTTTTTGTGAGCCAGGTCCAAAAATATGTGATCGAGTCACAGAGCTGACTCTGTAGTTAACTATGTCCCCTCTAGAACACTGAGATCATCTGCAGCAAGTCTATTACAGGTTCCCAACATCAGCTGGAAATCGGAGATGCAGCTTTTGTAAATTACGCTCCAAAGTTGTGGAAAAAACTGCCACTAGATATCAGACAAGCTAGTTTAGTAAATGTCTTTTAAAAAACACCTCTCTTTGCTTCGGCCTTTGATCTTGCACTTACCCACACTCCTGATCTCTCATTTTTTAACTTTCTTTCTTTTCTGTTTTTATGAATAATCGTATTATTTATTTTTATTTCCTTTTCTTTTAAATTTAATTTTAACACGTTCTTATGTTTGTAGTAAATTTTAAAAAAGTACTAACTTCTTGTACTAAATGAACGCAGTACTGTTACTCAAGTACATTATGGTCTATTTATTTTGTACTTTTACTTAAGTAAAAGGTTTTGAGTCCTTCCTCTAAACTCTGGATGTGCGTTTACAGGTTGATAAAAGAAAAACAAAAATTGGCGTAAACGATGTGACAGATGTGCGACATAAGACTTTTCCTGCTATCACAGTGAACACCACAGTGTCGGGCAGTAAGCTGAAAGAGAACTGACTCTAGTTCATTTGACTGTTTTCCATCCATGGCAGGAAGATGCAGGTTCCCCCAGTGACCCATTGGCCTTTTAGTATCAGAAGCTCCCACACAGAGACGTGCTGAATACTGTACGTCCATTATTATGATTGTAGAAGTGTACCTGCAGTGTGTGTGTGTCTGTGTGTGCGACATGTGCCCTTATCTGTGTGCAGGTGAAGATATTTACCCATGTGCAAACTATKKAGGTTGGAAAAAGGGCAAACATATGGCAGCTTTTGTGCAGCTGCCTAATTTTGCCTCATCTCTGCAATTCCGTGGCAGCAGGAGAGATTAACTTCCCTCAGACGTCACTAGACTCTTTTGTCCTCTCCTTTTATTTAATGTCACAGAACACACGTGTATCCACAAAACAATTCACAGCGGCACAGCAAGGCAGTCACAGGGAGACATGAAAATGGCAGACAGCTCCATGCTCCATCAAACACTGCCTACACAGAATAAAAAAAACAAATATACTGGAGTTAAGTTTAAATGTGAATGACAAATGAAGTGTGACAGATTCGAATGGACAAACTGAGTTAGCAACAATAACACAGATATTAAACACATCAGTCATAATGGAAATCTGGCAATCTCAAATATCACTCTGCACTTTGCCTGAATGTGTGGGGAAAAAAATACTCAGAGTCGACTGATTTGAGGAGTTTGATCGTTTCAACTCCCAGATGATTGATCTGACTGTGACATATTTTAGCAAGTTTTTCATGTTAGTTCACGATAAAATACAAGATATAGTTGATCAGGTGTGTGTGTGTGTGTGTGTGTGTGTGTGNGTGTGTGTGTGTGTGTGTGTGTGTGTGTGTGTGTGTGTGTGTGTGTGTGTGATGAATTGGGAGAAAGAGTGGTCTTTCAGTTGGAGAGCAGGATTTATTGAAGTCACATTCAGATTTTGTAATGTTTTCACTCAAATAGCCCCTGCTTGTGCTTGGATCTGTTCTGCTTGCGCTCAAACTGCCTGCTCCCATACAGAAGTGTATAAAAAGTAACTGCCCGTATGAGACTAGTAAAGTAAAGCTGACACACCGGCAATTAACAAAACAACACCTTTCATTGTATTGGTTGGGAATTTTGACAGACTGAAGCAGTCAGTCAGAGCTGAAGCTGGTGCGCAGGAAATCTATCCAGGCAACAAATGTCTGAGTGCAAAGTTTGAGCACAAGCAGAGCAAATCCAAGCACAAGCAGGGGCTATTTGAATGTGAGGGCAGGGTTTTGAGTGACAGCATTACAAAATCTGTATGTGAAATTATTATGTCCTGCTCTCAAACTGAAAGATGAGCTCTTGAATAAAGATATAGGGGGAAAAAACATGTATTAAAAAATGGCACCAAAATAAACCTGGCACACAAGTTTTAGGTAAAGCTTAGGAAAAGTTTGACATTTTAGAAAATATGCCACCTGCCTTTCTTTTTGAGTTAGATGAGAGGACTGATACCACCCATGTCTCTGTGCAAATATGAGGCTACAGCAGATAGTTGGCTTAGCTTAGCATAATGACTGGAAACATGGGGAGCCAACATGGTGAAAAATTAGCACCCACCTATTAACACCTTTCATTTTATCTGTTGAACAAAAACAATCTCACCAGAAAATAACAGGTCCCCGCCCAGAACTTGTCTGACACATAAACCTCCGTAATACAGCGAGCGGTCATTTTTACATCTCAGCTTTTCTACAGATTATGTTTCCTTAGTTAGCTTCATGGGTTTTATGTAAAAGCCAGGCTAGGTATTGTATCGCTTGATAAGCTAAGTTAATCAGCTGCTGGCTGTACCTTCCTATTTCATGTTCTAACATGAGAGGATCAATATTCTCCTTCAACTCTGCAAGAAAAAAGTAAATGAGCACTTTTCCCCAAAATATCGAACTTTTCGTCCAACAGTGAATCACATATTGATGTCCTTGTGTATCCTGACCAGGCTGGATGGTGCCTCCTCCACTCGTCTCCCTCTCAGAGCCAGAGTGAGGACGTTTTGGACGGATTGAGACACCCTGAGCAGAAGCTCCTTCAGTCCAGCTCTGTACTCCCGTCGGATCAGGCAGTAGAGCACCGGGTTGAGGCAGCTGTTGGCGTGGGCCAGACACACAGTCAGGGGGAAAGCGTAGGCCTGTGCGTTGTAGAAGGCTTTACTGAAGGGCACCATGTCAAACTTGATTAACACCCCCCACAGAGTGAGAGCCTGGTTGGGCAGCCAGCAGATGAAAAAGGACAGAACCACGATGGTGACGGAGCGGGTGACCTTGGAGCGGCGACGGTGGCGTCCCCTCTCGGACTCTGACCTCTCAGTGTCGCTTCCACTGACCACGCTGCCAACGATGCGCCGGCTCAGGATGAACCTCAGGAGCAGGAGGTAGCACACACTGATGACAATCAAGGGCACGACAAATCCTAAGAGGACCTTTTGTGTTTGATAGAGCCCGAGCAGGACTTGCGGATCCCAGTGGCCTGAGTCGGAGTCAGAGAACCGCACCAAGCACAGCTCGTCATCAGCAGATACCTGTAAAAGCAACAACTGCATCAGGCTGCTCACCCACAACAGAGAATACACAGTAAGCAAATCAAATCAGGAATGATAGATGAGTCTCAAAACCTGGACTGTGGTGGAGTAGAATGCATGAGGCAGAGTAGCCACCAGAGACACCACCCAGATGGTTAAACTGCCCCACTTGGCCCGTGTAGTGGTGATCCGAGGGCTTTCCATCTTGAGCGAGGTAACCAGGGAGCGGTAGCGGGTCACACTCATGGCGGTGAGGAAATAGACGCTGGCATACATGTTCAGGGTGGTGACCGAGCTGACGATCTTGCACATGACACGGCCGAAAGGCCAGCGGAAGTCCAGCACCGTGTCTACGGCCCAGAATGGCAAGGTGAGGACGAACTGGAGGTCCGTCAGCGCCAGGCTCATCACGAAGCAGTCAATGGAGGAGTGATGATGGCCCCTGCGGCGGGAGTGGAGCAGGAAGAGTGCCAGGAAGTTACCCACAAGCCCCAGCACACACACCACTAGGTAAACCAGGGCAATGAGGACTCGCACCTGTCGGACAACAACACTTGGGTTTAGTGTTTTCTCTTAAACAGGATGAAACAAAAATTGCACATAAGGAAATTAAAGCCAAAACACGACCAAAACAAAGTGTTTTTCATGCATCTTTACATTTTACACTCTTGGATTCCTTAGTAAAATCTATTGCATGTATGTTTTCATCCAATCGTATTTAAAATGTTTTTATTGTTATTGTAGCTTTTAAAGTCTTTATGACATCTTACTATCCACATTTTTATGTATATTGTCTTTTCTTGGCTCGTGATTGCTCGTGATCACCTGTATGAAAGTTACTGTACAAGTACAGTTTGATTATTGATTGATTAATTGATAAGTATGGAATAATCAAACCTACCGCCAGGTTGGCTCCGTCTCCGTGCAGGTCCAGTGAGGACTCCTTGGAGAGGACGTGGAGCCAGCAGCTCAGGGAGATGTTGAGAGTGGCCAGGTTGGAGGCTGCTCCTGTGGGACTGACCACTTTGGAGAGTTCGCGCTCGTCCTCCTCTCCACACGCGCTCAGGGCTGCGGAGGCGCTGCTGTTGCTCTGCATGATGAAGCAGCTGCGGGGGGGAAATACGAAATAAACGGGGGCGAGCTACTTTTTAAACCGATAAGTTTCGCAGGTGTTCCTCCTCTTCTCGGGCTCAGTCTCAGATGCGCAAATCCCCATCGTCCCCGTCCTGCTGCATTTAAGGCTCAGAGTCTCAGCGGGAGATCACAGCTTTTATTTGAGTGGTTCCTAGAAGCGCATCTGCGTTGTTGTTGTTTCCAGTTGTGGAGGAAAGAATAAAAACCTAAACGATCTGAGCTGTTGAATGTGAAGGAGTCTACTTTGGAGCCTGAAGTGTGGCAGCAGCCTCCTCTTCTCTCACTGATGCTGGCAGCATCCACACACTGGAGGCTTTTATAGTGGCTGGGCTCTGCTCCACCGCCTGGTGGCGCTCATGAGCGGCTCTGTCATGCAACATGAAGATATCAACTCAAAGTAAACCATTTCTTCTTTTCTGCTTCCAGTAAAATCCGATGTATATTTAAACTGTATGTTTGTATGATGTTTGTTAACTTTTAGTATTATAATTATTATAAGGATTATTAATAATCCTTATAATAATCATCTTTATTGGTATGACACTTTTCATAACAGAAAAAGTGTCTAATTTTGATGACACAGTTTTGCCATTCACTCGATCGGAATGGTAGGAGACTGGTATCGAACTGCCGACCTTCTTTCTCCTGGGGCACAACCTATCACTTCCTATAGCAGCAGCATTTTGTACCAATTGAAGGCTATGCAGGGAGGCATGAGTAATACCATAGCATCAAATCTATAGCCAGGACAGTGAAGACATTGACAAACTTGAGTAAGTCCGCAAATGTTAACTAGGATTTCATCTTTGAAACTAAATGTATAGGTGGAGAATAGCAGGAGTGGACAATTTACTTTTCTTTGACCTCGAAACAAATATAACCCCCAGATTTCCTACGGAGAGTTGAATCTATTTTATTTGTATTGAGGTTGTGTGTTGTTTGTAACAGAATATATAACTGTGTGCACAACTAGGCCACTGCAGAACTTTACCAAGTCATTTTTGTTCTTATTATAATTCTTGTTTACCTCATTTAAAGTTTGCTCTGTGATTCTGCTTCCTTTGAATTAAAACTGAGTCACAGCCGAGCCATCTTTTCTCGTCTCACAGTATCCATAAGGTGTCGGCTTTAACCTCACATTTCATTGTTTGTACTGTTTTTTTTTCTTTTTCTCTTTTTTGATAGAGCTAGCTAATCACTCTCAAATGTTATGCTCTGATATAACCTTTAAAAATTCCTGAAATATGATGTGCAGCCAAAGTATAAGGGTGGCATTTCCAGGAAAGGTTTATTTAGCCTATGAGGATTTGTTGTTATGCATCAGAAATGCACATCAGAAGAATGATAATTAGATTTCAAACAGCCTTTAGTCTTTGTCAGGGAGCCAGAGGAGTGAGAGAGGGAGAGATGTGTGTTTTTGATTTGCATTTCTTATAGGTCAGTGTCGGTATTCAGGTGTAAAGCAGCAGTGTGGCCAGCTGTATATGCATCACAGAGAAGAGAGCAGGATGGGTGATAACTGGTTAAGACACTCTGTGACTTATCAGTTTCCAAATATATATCCGATGCATTTCGAAAGAATCTGTCCAAAAGCATCAGATACCTCTGTGATTGAACACCTCAACAGTTTGAGTGACATCTTTAAACGGTCGTCTCTTCTGCTCAATCAGGATTTGAAGGCCAGTCAAGACAGCTGGAGACAATTTATTCTCTTATTTCAAAAGTAGTGGTCAGTATAGCATTCATGGCGACCCTGAAATAAAATAAAATGACATTTTCATGTGCATTATATATAACATCCGAACTAACTGTACAACAATATCAAGATTAAAACACTGCACCTGATAAAAACATGCAAACAAACCATGAATAAAATACCCCCCCCCCAAAAAAAATTTACAATTCAAATGCAACACTTAGATACATGTACATTACAAAGCCACAAATACAAAGTGGAATTATTACACATAATCAATATTATATAGTATTTACCAAATTTACCAGATATTGTTGGCATCTGACCCAAATCTCTCTGTGAAGGGTCTGAGAGATATCAATATCCATAATTATCATGATACATCGCATTATTATTTAATTTAATTTTCTCCTGACCAAACCTTGTTTTAAACTCTTCTTTATGAGCACATAATAACACTATAAAAAGCAAAACATATCACAAATCTGAGGATGATCAATTATGTGTTAAACCTCCTCACTCTGCTTACGAAATGTACGAAACATCACATCTATATATTGAACTTTTATGTGCTATTCATGGAAACTAGATTGGCGTAATTGCATCCCAACTAGCACGAAACACATTATCCATTATCCACTATGTGAAATGAACCATCTCACATAAATAATACTTACAAACCATCATCATTCATCTGCATTCTGCTGAATCTTTACAAGGTGTTTAAAGATGTTTAATTTAATCTCTAGTTCGTCTTTATGTTTCCTACCAAAATATAACAAAGGCGACCCTTCAGAGGTGTTGAGACTTATTTACACGATGAGCGACATAATTGTGTAAGAGATTATTATGAATGAGAGAAGTCTGGAATGAACTACGCTGCCTCTGAAAAGAGCGTTTTGTGATTTCTCACAGTCATTACCACTCAGAATCTGTTATTCACGCACAGATTCGAGGCTGAGTACATCCAGGGGACGCCTTCTTTGTCATTCTTGGTAGAGAGAGTGTCTTGCAGACGGAGCCATTTGAATTCACACTGTGAGTGATTCCCTTTGCTTTTCTGCAATGCAAAAAATATAGCAGCAGTTCAGTCAGGTTTTCTTACTGCATACTTTTCAGAGAGGTGACATATTCGTTTTAGAGAAAGGTCCTCGTGTGAGTAATGCCTTTAGAAATCAGAGCATGGGAAAAATATCACAGTCATCATAAAGGGAGCAACATATGCAAATCCCACAGCACAAGTTGTAGAATTAATATTTCTGCTTCTATCTTCAAAAGCTCATGAAACCGCAGACAACCTGAGCTCACAAAGAAGAGCAGAATAAATTATCTTTTCCTCCTGTGACCTCCTTTCACCCTCGGTACGCAGTATCTCTGCTCAGCCCTTGAGCTGATAGCTGACAGCCCATGATTGATATTCACATAGAATTTATACCTACATCTATAACTCTCTATCACAACACTGCAACTCCATGCTTAAAGCAACCTGATCAATAATTAATTTCCCATTCCCTATGTGCAAAGTGTGCTTGCATTTTTTTTGTTCAGGTTTGCTTGGAATTTTTTTAAAGTTTTGTCGGTCCCCCTCAGTTTTTCTATCAGCTGGGACGCACAGCGCTCAGTGAGGTTTTTCAAAATAAATGACACCTGTTCTGCAAACAAGGTCGTGTAACCTGTATTTATATAAAAAATATAATATCTACAATAAAAAAAACAAGCAGAGTTTATTTTGACAACTTGCATGAAAGTGAGGCTTGGTTTTATGGAAATGAGAAGTCATACAGCAGTTTTTACTTAATAAAATAATTTTTAGTGAACGAAATAGTAGTTTTTTTTTTTTACGATATTGCCTCATTATTTTTTGCGATGCACATTTCTTCCAGACTTGACTTAAAAGAAATAAAACACAAATTTACACAGAAAACATTTTAATCCTTATACTATGTTCCTCAAAATATAAATAATAAAATACAGCATTTAATTGACATTTGTTTTCTTTTCCAGATCATACTGCGAATACCTATATCATGCAGAAGTGCGACAGCAATAAAATATCTGCCAAGTTCCTGAGGCTCCGTTCATCCAAAGAAAGGAGTTAAAGAAAGAAACAAAAGATTAATCAGTGCAGATGACCTCTTCCCCGACCTCTATCTGACTGAGTGAAATCCAGTTAGAAAAATATTTTATTTGTGTGTTAGTGTTGGTGGCAAACAAACTGACACTTCACTCGGTCTCTGGAGAGACGCTAAAAAAGCAATAAAATTGCTGATACGGATGCTGCATCTGCAAGGAGGCTGCACTGCTTCGCTACTGTCTTTCCTCCTGTGAGGCCCGAGGAGCTCAGTGATTGTCCCGGTGCCTGGGATCCTGGTGGTGAGAGGACTGGACGTCTACCATGGGGAAATCTGCCCAGGTCCAGAGCTTCTCTGTCAGGCTGCTCAAGGCCTCAAATCCCCTGGAGACAGTGAGGAGTGGAGGAGGAGGGACGTCTTGCACTTCATCCATTGACTGCAGAGAGCGGGAAGGCACTGAAGGGCAGAGGCATGGAGGAGAGGCGTGAGTGTATGTGTGTGTGTTAGAGAAAGACAGTGGGTGTATGCATGCCTACAGACCTTTGGTTTTTGTGTACTCCGCCTGGCTGAGATGGCTGTAAGGGTCCGGCTGAAGATTTGGTGAAATAAGCAGAGAGAAAGAGAGGAGCAGAACCTGGACATGAACACAGACAGCAGGACAAAAACAGGCCATGTACAGTGAGCAAAGGGAAACAACAGAAAGCACAAAAGGTGTTATCAAGCATAACCTATACACGACTGTGAAGAAAAAGATGAGCAGAGGTGCAACTCAAACATTTGACGCTATTAACAATTTAAATATGAAGTTGTCAACAGTGGACTTTTAATGATGAACTCAGGTAAATAATAACATTCACAGAACCGAGCCTCTGTCTCTCGTGTATTATATCCAAATGTGCATATTATGGTTGCAGTTTGATGTGCAGATGTATTGTGTAATCTGTCTCACCAGGATGCAGGTCCCTTTTTGCGTTGTCTTGCTGGAACTGCCAGAAAGGAGATCCTGCGCCCGGTTTAACTGCTCCAACAGAGCACTGCAATACGAACACAAACAGACAGGCATCTTTTTTCATGATCAGTGGCAACTAAAACAACAAGAAGAGCAGTGCGTGGCGGGAAAACACCGGCATGCAGCCTCCCACATTACATTTCATTTTACCGCAGCACTCTGCATCAGGAAGAAAGCAGCCTAATGGGGAAGCAGGATGAGGAGGAAGCGGAGCCAGATAACACCAGGTCAGGTTTGAAATTTGGAAGGGCTTTGTATTTTGGCAATATAAGCAATGTCTGTCTGCATTTTAACAGCTAAGGGACAAAATCCATACAGATGAAACACTGACAGATGTACTGCAACACACAACAAAGGGTGACTCAAAATTAGACATTCTGAAGAGTGTAGCTCCATGGAAACAAATCCCAACAGTCGGGGAAAAAACAGCCAACCAAAAGGATATTCCAATAGCTTTTAAATGTTATTCTTTTGGTTTCATTTAATTGTTTAAGATGATGCACAAAATGGAATCCATACCGATAAGGTGAAGCTGATATAAGTACTGTCACATCTTTGCTAACATGAATACACATGGCTTGGAGTTCTTCATGTTAAAGTGCTGCATATGAGACTTAATGTAGAATAATCTTCATGATGTTTTCACGAGTTTGTTTCATCTAAATTGTATGAATTGTAGTTTTCTTTACCCCAGAAAAGGCCCTTTATATTTAAATACTTTAAATACAGAGGCCGCCATGTTTTTTACATGAGTCCAGACTGAACAAACTAAACACCTTTTGAGTTTTTATGACAATTGAAGGCTACCACTGGTTCTATTTCATGTTTGGAAGGAGAGGGTGAGGTGAGGGGTGATCAGCTGCTACATGCAATTTCAACACTAGATATCACAAAATTCTACACACTGTACCTTTAAAACAAAATTTTACTGAAGAAATTAACACCTGAACATACATCATTGATATAAGAACTACCTAAAATGATAGAAACCATCTTTGAGAAAAATTTATTTGACGTGTACTTTGACTTTGAGCCATGTCCCATCCACTAACACGGGGAGGCCGGATCTATACTGCAACCAACCACAGGGGAGCAATCAAGATGCTTTGGCTTCACTTTTGGGGAGCAGTCATGTCACCCATCTTTAAATATAGTCGATCGTTTAAAATCCCTGCAAATTGAATATATTTTTACATTTCTCTCCAACCTTTAATTTTATAAGCACAACGCTGGAAAATAATGCATTGGATAAATCCATAATGAGAATACATCATTAGTATGAGGCCTTGTTGGGCTCATTTGAGGACTCACTGGTTGGTGTCCTCCAACTGCTGGATCTTTCTCTGCAGCTCCAGGTTGTGAGCGCTGCATGCAGACATCCTACAGAGAGAGAAAGAAAGAGTGAAAGAGAAAAGATGAGGTAAAGGAGGATATGAACAGGCCTACAGCATTGTGTATTCCTTCAGTTCTCCTTTTGCCAATATCCGTCTGCTGAGTGTTATTTTGCACCCATTCTTTAGACTCCACTCCACCCCCCCACCCCATTCTACTGCTGTCTCTCTGATTCTTGTGGTCACTATATGAGTTGACTGAGCTGAACCATCAATAAGTGATAACCCAGTTGATACGGTCTGCTTGCAGAGTTTGATTGTAGCAACAACTGCTGCCTCTGCTTAATATGAACTTTTGTGATCCAGGGGAAACAGAGGTCAAGGTTAGATGAGAAGAAGGATTTTAAAAGTTATGGAAATATGCACCAAAGGTTGTTTTGTGATTTTGAGGTATGAGCAATAAATTGCAGGAATCTGTCAGCAACATGCAGGGGAATTAATTTTTTAAGGTGCCATTCGTCATATGAGTCAAACTACAGGCTCAAACATGCCGCATCGTTTGTGGAGGTGGGATGGGTGGAAGAGCCAACGCGGGGGTGGCAGGCAGGATTAATACATCTGGTGACAAAGGACGCCTGGCTGTGAATTGAGGTTGATTCCTCACCACCTGGAGGTAGTGGAGGAGAGGAGGAGGAGAAGGAGGACTATACTGAGCTCCATTGCAAAAAAAAATCTTGCACTGCATTGTGAAATACTGCATCAATGCACCATCTTCAGTATTAAGGCAAGCAAGTGGAATATCCCAACATGTTTTGCTATGTTTCGTCACCGAATATCTCAACAATCACGACGATTTAACTAAATTTCATGATTTGTCAACAGTGATAAACAGTCACATCGGTTTTGTAGGTGAGGCCTCGACACAGCCAGTGAATGGATAACAGCGGACATTTAGAATAAAAATGATGTTAATGAATTTGAATATCAGGGCCTATGGACACTTGGATGACAACACAGGAGCAGTACGTTTTTTTTTCTGTTGTTTTTTCACGTTTGAAGACGTGGTCACCATTTACTTCAATTATATTGGATTTGGCTGCAACACTATTTAGCCCTTAAACTACAAAAGTGTTCTGTGGACTTAAACACTTCACCCAGCCCATCATCAACATAGTGGTGAGTAGATAATGAGTGAATTTTCATTTTTGGGGGAAACTATCCCTTTAAGGTTAGTGACAAAATACTCTAATTTTAAAGTGCTTTAAAAAAACATATGGCTGCACATTAAAGCTTCATTTTCCCAGGCCGAGGAATGTGCATGAAATAATGTTCTGCTGAGTGAGGACGACGAGAGCAGCCGGCTCGTACCTTCCCTCCAGACAATCGACATATTCCCTCTTCTTCTTCCGACTTTCCTGAGCCGAGCGCTTGTTGCGGATTTTCCGCCGGATCTTCTTCAAAACCTTCTCTTCAAACTTGTCAGGGAGATGAAACACATGGGGGGATAGGGAAAAGACAGAATAAGAAAGAAATAGGGCGACTGAGAGAAAACTATGTTGTGCAGAGTTTGTGTAACTGGGGATCCAGATTTAGATTTCACTGCAGACTGCATGACTGGATGTGTTTGCTCTGCCCAATGTGCTTGAGTGTGTGTCCTGCTCTTGTACCTTGGACAGGGGCAGTTTGCTGGGCAGGTTCACTCCCTCCTTAGCCAAAAGTGTCTTCTCATCCTCGTCAAGCTGAAGCTCTGGCAGGGAATGCTGGGGGATTTGCTGCGCCTGTGAAGCAGGTGGACAGAATATTGGACTTTATGTGAGTGTCTGGGCAGCTCACACAGAGAAGGCACTGCAGTGTAGCTCAGGAAATGTTGTTTATATCATGCAAAGGGTGCTCTTGTGTGGGACAGTTAAGCAGTGGACCATGAAGTGCAATTATCCAGAACACTGAACTAAATCATTTTTAATTAACACCCCTCATTGGTTTAAAAGCTGAAAACAGAAAGAATTCTCTCTCTACTCACTTTCTGTCCCAGGTTCGACAACAGCAGGTCCTTAACTGTGAGCGTCTGACTGGACAACAGAGCAGAGCTTTGGTTCGTTTTGAGGTAGTATGAGATTCCAAACTGCTCCTGTAGGTTGCCGGGCTCCCAGCCTTGGGATTGAATGAGTAAAACAACAGGTGATGCTTTGCTTAAAAAAAAAAATGTTCAATGAAAAACATTAAATGTTTAGTTTGCTGCCTGCGTCTGAGACCGCTGTGTGTGCTGCACCCTGCTGTGCTGAACAGTCCACTGCCACAACCAAATATATGTCACACTTATCTCTGCTTGATATATCTTTGTGGTGTTGCAGATGTGGTTTATGTAGACAATTTTAAAATTGTTTTTTTTTAGCACCCAGGAGGTCAACCATCAACATTGTGAAAAGGGACAATTATTCAAAAGACTTTCCCCTCAAAAGACAACTTCCTTGTGTGATGAATGACAATTGCACAACCTTTCATCCTTTGCAGATGCTCATAAATGCGAAAACCAAATTATTTGCTCTTTGCCTATAGAAGCTCACTCAATAGCCCTCATTATTCTGCAGCACAAAGAAGAAACTGGGAAATCTCATGAAGGTGTCCCTGTGGTTTTGTGTGAGTCTAAACTCTCTACTTTTTCATGTGGCGGTAAGTCTCAGAAATGTTCCTTGCCAGTACAAAATACCAAAATATAATTGTCACTGAAAGTTCAGTCTTACTATGATCAATGGAAACTGTTTTTTCACTGGCTGGCAGGTGATTCCCTGGAGGCTGAGGGATAGCCGGAGCGTCAAAGGTTTGGAGAGGTGTGCAGCAGGATGGGTGAGGACTCTCCGTGGGATCTATCAGGGGGTCGTCGTTGATGCCACTGTCGGTCGTGCAGGGTGACCACAGGGGGGACGCCGGCACAGAGGAGGAGTCACTCCCACCCAGCAGGGAGTCCAGGAAATCATCAGTAGAGCTTCTCTCTGGACTTGGGGTCTGAGGAGGAGGTGGAAGAGGAGAGTATATGCACACATAATCACATCATCTTCTTGCCTTAATCAGAAAATCATATTCCCTCACACGAGCACAGAAAAGAACATTCAATTCCTTCATTTCAGTCTTTGCCTAAATCATCTTCAGGTTTATGTATTATATAATGAAGCTGTTAATGAGCTCACAGACATGCTTCCATTAACGTGACACCTGACCCTTGTTATATACAGATCACACTTGGCCGTCACACTTTCATAATGAGATTCTGAGAGTTTGCTTTTGGGATTATTATGTCTCCATAGTGACTTGGTACGGGAGCGAACTGTGCACAATGACCAGAGCATACTCACATCATGAAATGTGATAGTCCACGATTGGTTGCTGTGGTAACCAGTGGTTTCATCGGTGTTCCTGAGCAGGAGGTCCATGAAGTCCAACCCAGTGTGCACCTGAAATGAACAACCAATCTGAGTGATGGTTCAAGGTATTTCTCAGTTCTGCCTGATTTTACAGAATATGATTCATATCTTCAGTTCAAATTGTTCTTGCTCAACCCCACACTCAAATCAATATACATCCATTTTTACCTTCTGTAATAACTTTTTCTCTTCTTGAAGCACTGCTCAGGCTGATTCTTTCTCTTAAACAAAAAACGATAGTTGTCTGTCTTACCTTCTCGGTTTTTAGTGTCATAATTCCAATGTTAAAGCAGCGGCTGATGAAATTTCAGTGAAACCTTCCAGCAGGAATTAAAAACACAACACACAAACAGATCAAGACGATCCTGTGTGGCTTTGTCTCCAGGAGCAAACCTTGAGTCTGGCTCAAGGGACAAAGTTGAAATGCCATAAGACACAACTGCATTACCTCATCCTAGGTAATCACTGTCCAATCCAATGTTTAGCAGACAGCTGGGAGAGCCAATCAGCACAAGACGAAGGATCTCTGATAGATTCATTGGTCAAAGTTTCTCCTAGAGTGACATTTGATGTCCTTAAAACAAGTTGCTGTTGGTTTCACATTGAATATTTTGCTGGACAGGATTGATTTACAGCTTTTATTGTGGAGGGTGGAGTCATGATTATCTTTATCTGTTAGTGACATTTAGTTCATCAGTTCAAACCTAACAAAAACAACAATAAATGTGCTGACACATGTTCTCAGCATAGCTCTAAGGATGCTATTGTTGATGGAAAATATCGTAAGTATTGGGGTGGGAATGAGTAATAACTTCAATCATCCACATTATAATCTACAGCATATGTGAAAAAACAGAATAATGTTTGTAATCTGATACATAAGAATTATAATCATAATACATTTTATGTATGTATCACTTTCTTAACAATACTACAAAATAAGACGACAGAACGAGCAGAGAAAAAGATTCATTACCGCCGATCTTAGCTCAACAGGACAAATACCAGGTCTGAAAGGTGCGTAGGTCCCAAGCCATTTAAGGCCTTAAAAGTGAACAATCGAAACAAGAAATTGAACAGGGAGCCAGTGTACAGAGGCAGACGCAGGGGTGATGTGGTTCTACTTTTTTGTCACAATAAGCCCAGCAGCAGCGTTTTGCATCAGTTGAAAACAATGTTGGGAGCCCTGGATGATACCAGAGTGAAATCCATTACAGCAAATCACATCAAGGTGAAATAAAAGCATGAACAACTTTGTGCAAATCAACAATTGATAGGAATGACTTAATTTGGGTGATGCACTTGAGGTGAAAGAAACAGAGAAAAAGAAACAACACAATCACACACTTATTAGCAATGAGTCTGTCACACAAAACTCCCAGATACAGAAATTGTCCAAATTGTTACAAATAGCCTTTGATATGAAAAACATTCCCTCAGGTTCTTTGTGTCCGTTCATGGGGCACTTGTTATTCTTAAGTTTCTGTGAACAATTACATTATTTAGCTTTTCTCTCCGGCACAGCCACCGCTCTGCACCTCACAGTGTCCTATTTTTATTGCCATAATCAGGAGCATCTGTTTCGTGCCATACAAAGCATACTTTCCATAAAGCAAAGGGATTACGTAACATGTTCTGGCAGCAGAAACACAAAATGGAACTTGCACAGTTGCAAAGGCATATCTAGTGATTGTCACAGTGGGGGAAGAGATTCAATCAATGGAAGAGTTATTAAACTTCTCAGCAGTTCAGAAAAAGTAGAATCAACTGGCTGTCGTATAGTTTGTGGGATGAATAGCAACATACTGTAATTCCTCCTCCACTGGCTTGACTTCAAAGCACGTCTGAGAAGAGATACTCATTTTCTTTTCTCCTCAGATGAATTCTTTGACATTTTACCTTCATCAGACACTTCAAAGTGGACTGAGATGATCTATATTATTCATTTGATTCTTTTCTTTTGTAAGTTTCCTTTCTCTGGGATGCTGTTGCCTTTACCAAACCATTGAATAAATAGCGGGAAGGAAAAGGAGTGCATATGGAAGAAAGAAAAATCATCTGAGGCACATCAGATTAAGACCTGCATGGGGTTTATGTGGCACACAGCTGAACCCACAGTGTCATTTTCTGTATAAACTGTAAAGACAGGGTAAATGTTTCCCTTCTGATTGTCTGTCAGGCGTGTCGCATAATGTTGATAAATCAAACTTGCTGAAGCAGTTTTTAACTTTGATTTCAACATCGGGGAGACAGACAAAGAAAGACAAGTCAAGAATCTCTAATGTTTAGAAATAAGGTTATGCCAGGAAAATGAACTTTTGGTGGAGCTGCTGTGAATTAAAGTTTCACTGTTTCACTCAGGACCCAATAGATTCATAGCTATTTATTAATCATATTTGTAACCCCTGTGTGAAACCTGATCCTTTAGTCTCTTAAATATAGTCTTTTTGTTGCATTAAATTCCCCTCACTTACGACATAGACCCAAGTATTATCAGTACTGTAATACACCTAATTGCATGGCAGCGGTGCGGCACTATCTTTATTGTGGCTCTATCTTCAGATTAGAGAGTTTCAAAGTACACACAGAGGTTATCTAGCAAGAACATTTTAAGTACATCTCTGAATACCAAGAATAGGCTGCAGCTCAGCACTGATAATTGCAGTGTTATTGCTTATGATATCATACTCTAAATACCACATTATCATGTCCATTTGGATGAATGCTACTAAGGGTTACTGAGAGGTACATCCATTTATGGGTACATGTGTTTAGGATTTAAGGAAAGGAAAGATGTATATATTCTAAAATCCAGTAACTTTATCCCACCTACACATATACAGTTGTGAACAAATATGAACAGTTGACACATTTCCTTGAGAAGACAAGGTATGAAATTGAAAAGGCATGTCTTGAAAACGCCATGCCGAGCTGTTTTCATGAAAAAAAAAATAGATCCGCTGGGGGGGAACAAAAGTAGGCTATAAAGCTTTTGAGATCAACCCAGATACTGTTTGTCTTTTTTTTATACGGACAGGTGAGAAGCAGAGAGCATGCTCTGAGCAGGTATTATTGCTCCACAGTGAAATGCATGTTGGATGGCCCTTATCTGAAGGTCGGGGATAACTATGATCTGCACAAAATGATTCAACATCTGCAGCTTGTGGGAAATTCCAAATGCATCACACAAATATAGGAGAAATGAAAGTGATTCAAGCCTGTGTGGAGTGAAGGTTATACTGTATTTGGTGCACGTACCCAATGATTTTATTTCCTATTATTGTTTAACAACATTGAAATTATCCAAATGTTTTTGCATCCTTAGCTGACACATTATTTAATAGCAGGAGCTCATAAATTATTTTGCAGTGAATTGGAACAAGAGCAAAGCAATCAATTTTCCAGCTCATCTACAACTCCCAGAGGGGAGAGAGCTGGGTAAATGAAGTAGCACCAGGCAATACAGGCAAATAAATAATAATATGCACAATAAATATCACATTATTGTTTCTTTTAAGTTTAAAGA